ATTATTTTCTCATAGAGAAGAAATCCTGTCATTTGCAGCAAAATGGATGTAAACTGGAAGACATTATGTTAATGTGAAATAAGCCAACAGAGAAAGACACATTACCTATATCCTCCATCATTTGTGGAAGTTTTTTAATGTTTGTTTGTTTTTAAAGTTGGGCTGGGAGCATCAACCAACTGGTAGAGTTCCTGCCTAGGAAGTGTGAAGTCTTGAGTTTAAACCCCAGTACCACCACCACCAAAAAAAAAGGAAAAAAAAAAGTCAGCCTCAATGTAAATTGATCTGTAGAGATTTGTAGTGATCTGTAGAAGTTGAGAAGAGGAGGGTAAAGGATGATGGATAAAAGGAGGTTTATTTGTCAGTGCAGGCTGTACGCACATATTGAAATACCACACTGAACCCCTTTAATATGTACAATTAATACATGTTAATCAAACATAAAAAATTAAGAGTAATCCAGGTATGGTGGTACCTGCTGCAAACACCATCTACTCAGGAGGCAGAGGCAGTATGATCATGAGTTTGAGGCCAGCCCAAAGGCAGTGGCAAGGCCCTGTCTCAAAAATGAAATAAAGACAAAAAAATGACTGGAGGGGTGTAGCTCAAGTGGTAGAGCACTTGCCTGGCATGCATAAGGACCTGGGCTCAATCCCCAGAACCAGAAAAAAATATTAAAAAAATATATATATATATTGCCAACTTTGGAACACTTAAATACATAAAGCAAGAATCAACAGAACCGAAGGTAGAAACAGGCAGCAATACAAAATAATAAGGGACAACACTGAAACTGCTTCCCTCAAAGTTACCAATGACCTTCATAGTGAATCATCCAACAATCTGTTCCCTACAGGCCATTCTTAGCACCTATCAGCTACACCTTCACAAACCGACCACTTCCTTCTTTCCAATACATGCTCTTCACTTGCCTTTCAGGATACCTCTTGTTATGGTTTGGATAGGAAGCATTCCCCAAAAGGCACATGTGTTGAAAATTTGGTCCCCATGTGGTGGGTCCAGTCGTTGAGAGGAGATGGGCTGGTTGCAGACGAAATACACTGAGGAAGGAAGACCTGGCTCTTTTGTACTCTGTGTACCAGCCCAGAAGTGATCCTCCGAAGATTTCCCTAATGTCTATGGATACCCTAAAAATCAAGTGGACTTGGAGTTAGACCTTCCCAATAGAAAGAGTTAAAGGCTGATGGGACCATAAAGGTAGAGATGATGCTAGGCAGCTGATAGATCCTGTTCTACTAGATTCCTAGATTGAAGCTGGATTCATTTGATGCCAGAGGTAAAATAAGAGACCAGAACAAGAAAAACCAGATTTGAGTCTCACTTTCCTATTCTGAACCACTTCAGTGCTTTAAATCTAGATGCACAACAGATGATGATCCAACACAAAACAGGGCTGGCAGAGTGGCTCAAGCAACAGACCACCTGACTAGCAAGTGTGAGGCCCCCAGTACCACAAAAAAAAAAAAAAAGACCATAGCATGGAAACCCTGGCTGAGTTTCCAGCGTGCTGCCCTGCTGTTATGATTTTTAATACAAAAATGCCTCCCGACAGGCTCATGTTGAATATTTGGTCCCCAGGTGGGATTACTATTTTGGGAAGTAGTGGAGGTGGGCCCTTGCTAGAGGAAGTCACTGGAGCTGTATCTTTAGGGGCTATCTCTTATCCTAGTCTCCTCTGTGTCCCTTTCTGGCCACCACAATGTGACTGTGCTGCTCTACCACACCCTCCATCATGATAGATTGACACTTCTAAAATTGTGAGCCAAAATAAATACTTCTTCCCTTCCCTTAATTTGTTTTTTGGTCACAGCCATGAAAAGTCTGACTAATACAGAAAATTTGTACTATATAAGTGGGGTCATTACTCTTCTGAGTGAGGCAGGCAACTTTAAGTGGATATGCCTAAATTAACACAACTTTAAAGTGTCCTTTCCAAAAAAAAAAAAAAAAAAAAAGCCTGGCACCGGCAGGTGGCTCATGCCTATAATCTTAGCTGAAATTGGGAGGATCACAGTTCCAGACCAGACCAGACCAGGCAAAGAAGTTTGTAAGACCCCATCTTAACAGAAGAAAGCTGGGCATGGTGGCACGTGCCTGTCATCCCAATGACAGTGGGAAGTTTAAAAACAGGAGGATCGTAGTCCAGGCAGGCCTGGCCAAAAAGTGAGACCCTATCTCCAAAATGATCAGAGCAAAAAGGGCTGGAGGAATGGCTCAGGTAGCAGAGCCAAGCAAGTGCAAAGCCCTGAGATCAAATTCCAGCAACCCACACCCCAGAAAGTGTTCTTTCCTTTTGTTTTGTTATTACTATTTATTTATTTTTTGACAGTACTGGGGTTTGAACTCAGGGCCTGCTTGCTAGGCAGGTGCTCTACTGCTTGAGCCACCCCGCTAGTCCTGTTATTTCCTTTTGTTTCAGTTAAAACTTTCTGGAGAAAACTGGGCATGTCCAGAGCCATTTCTATCTGCCATCTTAACCTTTTGATTATTTCTTACTAAAAACGTTTTTATTAGTATGTGATAGCTATACAGTGGGTTTTGTTGTGACATTTCCATACATACATATATTGTACCCCAGTTTGCTTCCATTAATCTCCCTCTTCTCCCATTCCCCTTCTTTTTTTGCTGAGGTACTGTGGCTTGAACTCATGAAGGTCATATGGCACTGGGGAAATGAAATAGCCAATAAAGTCACATACAGCCATATGTGGGTTGAGCTTTGCTTTTTGCTTCTGTAACCTGCTTGCAAGGGTATATAAGGTAAGACCCCTTTGTTCTGGGGGGCTCAGCCTTTAGACATGAGTCCGCTGGGTCTGTGCCTGCATAATAAACATTGCTTACTGCTAATCTGCCTCAGTGTCCCATATCTCAGCTCATAATTTCCTGTAACACCACCATGTGCTCTGGTATAGAGTGCCTGGTACAGAGATGGTGCTCAATAAAGGAGAAACACTGCTCTCTATATTAGTAGTGTGATTCAAGCTGGTGTGAAGAGGAAGTAATTCTAACTTAAGACTTTTGAATATTGTCCTGTGAAAGGTTCCTCTGTATTATTAAAAATGAGGGTAAGAAGTTTTTTGTTTGGCTGGTTGTTTTGAGACAGCATCTCACTGTGTACCTAAGACTGGTCAAGAACTCACTATGCAGCCCAGGCTGGTCCAAACTTGTGATCTTCCTGCCTTAGCCTCTAATTGCCAGGATTACAGATATGCACAACCATGCTCAGCACAAGTGCAGGGAGTTTTGAGCTACAATTAAGTGTAGCTTTTTTTTTTTTTTTTTTAGAAACTAATCACAGTTGGCCCATAAATTGATGAAAGAAAAATCCGAGTCACCGTCAGCAAATCAAGACTAGAATCTAGCTCCATCACTCTACAACTATGTGCCCTTGAGCAAGGCTCAACCTCTCTGCATTCCTTCATCTGCAAAATGGGTTATTATTACAGGGTGTTTAATGGCTGATCCACCTCAAGCATTAATTTAATTATAACTCAAATATCTAAAATTCTCTATTTCAAGTTGTACAGCTCAGTGGTTTTAGTACATTTTTGTACTAAATGTGCAAAAATGTACATTTTTGTGAAACCACCACCACTAATTCATCACCCCCCCAAAAAAAGAAACCCATTAGCAATCACCTAATTTCTCCCTCCCCACTCCCATTTCCCTGGCAACCATTAATCTACTTTCACTTTTTCTTGATTTGTCTATTCTAGACATTTCACATAAATGGAAGCACACCATATATGACCTTTTCACTTACCATATTGTCAAGACAGATTCATGTTGCAGCATGTGCCATCGGTATTTCATTCCTTTCTATGGCTGAGTACTATTCCATTGTGCAGATATACCAAATTATATTTGCACATTCATTATTCATGGATATTTGGGTTGCTTCGATTTCGGGCTAGTGTATACAATACTGCTGTGAACATTCATGTACCAGTTTTTCTGCGGATATGTTTTCAGTTCTCTTGGGTACAGATGCCTAGGAATGAAAATGCTTTGTTCTATTTACTGTAAGTCTATGTTGAACTTGTTGACGAACTGCTGCTCTGTTTCTACGATGGTTGCACTATTTTACAGTCCCAGAGCAGTGTATGAAGATCCAGATTCTCCACTTCCTCGCCAAGCAGTCCTTATTTTAGAAGCATTCTTCATTTTAGCTCACCAACTCGGCCTCAATCACACTAGTGTTGCAACAGCTCTCGAAACTAAAACAAAAAATTCCCATACGCAAATATATTTTGTGATGTTTGTATACATACTAAAAGCGACACCAAGGTACTGTTTCCTTTTTTTTTTTTCCTTCGGTACTGCGGTTTGAAATCAGGGCCCACACCTTGACCCACTCCACCAGCCCTTTTGTGTTGAAGGGTTTTCTTGAGATAGGGTCTTGCGGAACTATTGGCCTGGGCTGACTTCCAACTGCAGTACTCCTGAACTCTGCCTCCTGAGTAGCTGGGACGACAGGCGTGAGCCACCTGCGTCCCGGCTGATGCTAAATTTTTCCTGGCAAGGAATATACAGGACTGCAATTGAGTCGTCTACACAGGGACTCAATTCACCCTCACAAGGTTCCTCACCAAATTCAGGGACAAAAATGACTTTGCGACCAAATGCCTTGGATAGGAATGAGTAGTATTTGAGTAGCTTTTCACAAATATTTTAGCTTATTGCATTTCAGTTTCTCGTTTTTTCAGGATACAGAAATCTAATATCCAAGTACAGGCCTCCCTTCAAAGAACTGCTCTGGACAATCAACCCAGCGTATCTGTGAAACCTTCCACGCGCAGGCGCACACGTCCAACCCTGTCCACTCAGGCCCGCCCCCTCCGCCGAACTGCTAGCGATCTGACCAATCCACGAGTGCCTCCGGGAAGCGGTGCTTCGCACTGGCTGATTCAGTCTGATAACGTAGACACGCTCCAATCCACATGCTAGGGGCGGGGTTAAAGTTGGGCCGTGCAGAGCCGAGGGAGGTGACTACCGGCTTCAAAGCACGTGACCCGGTCCTAGAGCCGGAAGCTACCTATCCTGGTAGGGAGCTCCTCCAGCACCTAAGGCTGCGATGGTGAGTGAGGACGCATGCGCGGGAGTACGCGCCCCTGGGGTTCCTTGTCCCTGTTCCCCAGTCTTTAGATGCCCCCTCATGGCCTGTAATGCGCCCTCAGTTCCAGTCCGCCCCGGGACCGAGAGGGCATGGGGACGGAAGGGGCGGCGACGTAGAGGGTTGAGGAGGAATCTGGGAGGGTGTTGAAAATAGGGTGCGCAGCAGGGGCGGGGTACGCGGGAATTGGGGAGAGGGGCGGCGGGGAGGGACCGGTGGGGCTGCCAAGGCCCCTCGGCGTCGCCAAGGTTGGAAGTGGAAGGCCAAGGAAGGTTTGTGAGCCGAAAGTGAGAGTGGATTGATTCCGGGAGATCAGCGTTGACAGCCTAGTACTAGGGATCTGAGGGGCTGAAAGGGGCCATCGCCAAGGTGGAGTCTTGGGTTTGTCCGAACATCCTCTCTCATGCTTCTTATTGCTTAACCTCTTTACTCATTAGACTTCTGCACTGACCCAGGGGCTGGAGCGAATCCCAGACCAGCTTGGCTACCTGGTGCTGAGTGAAGGTGCAGTGTTGGCGGTGCGTTCTGGGAAAGGGAGGCGGGGTCCCCCTTAGTACACATGGCTCGGTAACCTTTTCTAGTGTTGCCAAGTCCTCCGAATTTGTCTCTGTGTTCGTCCTCTACCTGCCTAGCATATAGTAAGCTTTCAGTAATTAATGTCAAAGTCGTACAATCGTTATAGGTTTGTTGATAACTGATAATACACATGGCTTTCTCTAGTATGCGTTTGTTGGTGCTGGTGGGTTTTTTTTTGCGGATTTGAACTCAGGCCTCACACTTTCTAGGCAGGCACACTCCACTTGAGCCATGCTTTCAGCCCCTTTTTGCTTTAGTTATTCTTCAGGTAAAGGTCTCTTGCTTTTTGCCCTGGGCTGACTTCAAACCATGACCCTCCTGAGCTCCCTCAACCTTCCGAGTAGCTGGGATTGTGGGCATGTATCACTACCCGGCATTTATTTGGAATTTCCTTTTATTTATTAGGTGGAACTGGGGTTTTTGAGCTCAGGGCTTCGTGCTTGCAAAGCAGGTGCTCTACCGCTTGAGCTACACCTACCATCGATTTGCTCTGATTATTTTGGAGATGGGGGTCTCTTGAACTGTTTGCCCAGGCTGCACTTGAAAGCCTCCATCCTCCCAGTCTCACAGCCTCCCAAGTAGCTAAGATTATAGGCCTGAGCCACCAGTGCCCAGCCTAATTGGTATTTCTTGAAGAGACTTACATATTTCATCCCAGTGTATACTACAGAACTATATAATGTAGCTCTGAAAGTTTTTGCTCCAGCTGGCAAAGCAAGGCTTAAGGTCAGAGGTTCCAGAAGGACTCCAGAAAATGAAGGATTCATTTGTTTTGTTATGGCAAAACTTTGTTGGAAGCAGAAAGCAAATTTAAAGGCATGGTTGTGAATGGGTGTGAAGTAAGAATTCAGGACTGGGAGCTGGACATATTTGCCAGAGTGTGAACGTGCCTGTTTCTATAGGTGGTAGATTTATGTCAGAAAGATTTGGAAGTTTTGGGGAGAAGGATGTGATAAGAAAACGATCTGATTGTGGAAGATTTTCAAGGCCAGGTTGAAACATTTGGACTTAATCTTGAAGGTAATAGGAGCGTTGAAGATTTGGGATTTTTTTTTTTTTTTTTGCTTGTGTTTTTGAATAGAAACATGACATCTTGCAAACATGGTTCAGCAAGATGTTCTGTTAGTGCATGGACAAAACTAGAAAAATAATATGGTGTCTTAACAAATAGGAAATCAGTTAAGGGTTTTTTTTTTTTTTTGTACTGGGGTTTGAACTCAGGACCTATACCTTGAGCCACTCCACCAGCCCTTTTTTGGGATGGGCTTTTTCAAGATAGGGTCTCAGAAACTATTTGCCTGGGCTGGCCTTGAACCTTGATCTTCCTGATCTCTGACTCCTGAGTAGCTAGGATTACAGATGTGAGCCATTGGCACCTGCCTTGCATAGGGGAATTTTGATGGTCCATCTGTAGACACTGGAGTTTGGGATACAATAATAGCAGTTACAATTACATAGTTATATTGGCGTTCTAAGGATATCCCCAATATTGTTACATAACCCTTACAACAAGCCCATAAAGTAGGTCCTGTTCTTCCCAATATACAGATGAAGAAACTGAAATAACAAATGTGTGAGTGCAAAAGGAACTAAACTTAGCCTAGCGTGTGTAGTGGGGTGTTGGGGGGGCGGGGCATATCAAAGAGGTGAGAAATTGAGACGGTCACCAGAAAAGAGGAAAACCAGACAATAATCTTATCACTGGTTATCCGAGGAGTAGGCAGAGGGAGGGGTTCAAAGACAAAGGGGGCATGTATGTTTTAGATTCTACAGAAAGGGAACAAGGCGGAGGCCGTAAGTCCCTGGTGGGTAAGCACTGACCTTGGAGGGTGTGTTTTTATAAATAGGTGGGGACAGAAGAGGCACGAATTAGAAAAGAACAGTCAGGAGCTGGACAAGCGGCCGCTCAGCAGCGAAAGCCAGTATTTGATAAGAAACAGGATGGTACAAGGAAGCTGGCTACACCATAGGGTGGTTAGGTCAGCTTTTCCAAAACTAGGTGGCCTGGGGCTACTGGAAAACAGAAAGGAAAGTGTTACAAGCAAGAGGGCCTGTGCTGGAATTCCTTCCCAGTTCTGTGCCCTCATTTCTGCACTCTCTTTCATCCCCTCCAGTCATCCGGGGATCTTGAGAATGACGAGCAGGCAGCCAGTGCCATTTCTGAGCTGGTCAGTACAGCCTGTGGTTTCCGGCTGCACCACGGCATGAACGTCCCCTTCAAGCGCTTGTCTGGTGAGCCTCAGCCTGTCCCTTGTGGTGGGGGTTACTTCCAGAGACTATTCTCTTTGGGGAGAAATACCTGTCTCCCACCAGTACCTCTTGGGGCCCATGGTTCCAACACATTCTTCCCATTGGGAGCCCCCTGGTATCAGAACTGAGGAAGGGGGTTTCATCATGACTTCTGTTTCAGTCTGCCTTGAACTCTAGAATTGCTTTGGCTTTTGATCCCAGCCAACTTCTATACAACCCTGTAGAGGCTGTGGCACCCGCTAACGCTGTACTCCCTTCCCTCTCCTGGGTGGGGGAAGGTGTGTCTCCCCTCCAGTGGTCTTTGGAGAACACACGCTGTTGGTGACCGTGTCAGGACAGAGGGTATTTGTGGTGAAGAGGCAGAACCGTGGCCGGGAGCCCATTGACGTCTGAATGTGCCAGAGGGCGAGGGTTGGAGAAGCGGACTAGGTCTGTGGGCCTCCCAGGATGAGAAACCCAAACCTCCACCTCTTCTTGACCTGCTGCCGGAACTAGAACCTTCTGCTCACCCACCTCCCCACCCCTACCTGAAGGGCTGAGGTTAAGAGGAACACAAGTAAGGGGAACTCCTTTCCTCTCTCTTCCTAATTAATAAACATGAAGTCTGATGCTCCTAGGCTCAGGAATATGTATGGCAGGGGCTGTGCTGTGGTAGGGGAGTACACATGTTCTCCTTTCTTTTGCACTCCCGGGGATTGAACTCAGCACCTTGAGCTAGCAAGAGCTCTACCACTTTTGAGCCACACCCCCCAGTTCTTCAGCTCTTGGTTTGTTTTTCACATAGGGTCTCATGTTAACTTTGCATAGGCTGGCCTCAAACCACCTCCTGAGGAGCTGGCATTACAGATAAGCACCACCACATCAAGCTTGTTTTTAGGTTCAGGGTTTTGCTAACTTTTGCCCAGGCTGGCCTTGAACTACAATCCTCATGTCTCCACCTTCCAAGTGTTTGGGATTACAAGCATGAGTCATCATGCCTGCCTTTCTTCTACCTTCTAAAGAGATAGTCATGCACCTCAGTCCAGGGTGTATGGGGCAAGGCCACCACTGGGCTTTAGTAATTGGGAACAGAAAAAAACGTGGACAGGAAGGGAGCTCAGGGGAGCAGTTTGTCCATGCTGAAGTGAACTTCCTGAGCCCCTGTGGTCTGCTCTTCCATCAACACACAAACAACAGTTATTCTCCCTCCTGAACAGGCATTTAATAGTCTTATTTCAGTTGGAAGCTGTAGTTGGAGAATAAGTTATAGGAACAGACCAAATAAAAAGACAACTTAAAGTGCTTCAGGCTGCCAACGTAAACATGAGGGCAGAAAGAGGCCACCTAGCTATGTCCCTGACCCCTGAGACAGGAGGGTCATTTTCCAGGTCCCTTTGCCATTGCCACCCTCTAATCCCAGCCCTGCGGTGGTGGGGAGTGTGGAAAGATTGTAAGGAAAATACTCTGTAAACTTAGAACGGGCGAAGGGCAAGGGTGAAGGTGCTTTTGGAGCCCCTACCCTGCCTGAGGTGGGGCCAGCCCCCCCAGTGGGACCTCAGGGAAACACTGTTGCCCTAGCACTGCAGCCATACACCCCCTTCACAGCTTCTGCCCCCTCCCTCATCAGCAGACACAGACAGGCAGCTCTGCTCAGCTTCTTCACCCATGGTGGGAGGTGTCCCAGGGGAGGCACAGCCTGGAAGCAAGGAGCCCTCCAGGGGCTTAGCGGTTCTGGACTGTTCAGGGAGCTGAGCTACTTGACAGGCTCTACCACCAGGACTTTACACTCGCGCTTGGCAATCTTGTCCAGAGAGAGCACAGCCTTGTCCGGGGGTAGGTAGAGGGGGCGGCCAACAGGGGAGGCCACAGGGGGCGTGATGGCCCGGCGCTCCATCACACTGCCAGACCTGGGAGAAGGCGAGGCTGTGGGCTCTGTTCAGATATCACCTCCCTCCCTGCTCCCAGTCCTAGCCTCTGCCCCAGCCAGTGCCATGCCTTCCCCAGTTCCTACCTCATGAGGTGGCTGCGGGAAGGCTGCTGGTGGGAGAAGGACTGAGAGCGGCCCAGACTCGCCTGGTGCCTCTCCACTAAGTCCCGGACGGCAGGACTGCTGGGGCTGCTTTTGCGGGAGAGGGGCCGGGCCTCAGGTGGAGGGTGGGACACACTGGCAGTGAACTGCAGCTTCAGCTTCATGTGCTGGCTCAGCTGGGTGGGGAGACACCCATCAGCACTGCAGCTGGCTGCAGAGCCCAGACCTTCATGTCATCTTCCCACTCCACAAACCCAGGTCAGATCTTGAATCTGCCTCCCCTCTCCCCAGCCTTCTAGCATCACCCTTTACATTTCCCCTGTAGGAGCTAGGGGCCCTAACTGCACCCAATGTCCAGTGCTGGCCCACCTCAAAGAGTCCTGTCCTTAAGGCCTGGAAGGCCACACTGAAGGTGAGCGCACTGCCCTTCCGGGAGAAGCCAAGGTTGTTGAGGGGAGTGTGGCAAACGATGGAGTCCAGGGCTGCTTGCATGGCCCGGCGCTCCTCCTCACACAGCTGCTTTCCTGGGGGCAGAAACAGGCACTGGTGAACACTGGATAGCTTTCCTCAGCTCCCTTGGGCCTTCACCAGCATGGTCATGTGATCCACAAGCCATTCTGTAGAGTAAACTGAGGAAATGTTACCTTTTGCCAAGGGTTGTAGGTGACAGCAGCTAACACTGTTTGCTGAGGTCAGTTCTAACCACACTACTTGTTAAATCTGCATAATACCAGGAGGTGTTAGTTGCCCTATTTTAGATATGAAGACCAAGTCCTAGAGAGCTTAAGTAACTTACCCAAGGTCACAGAACTAGCAAATGAGAAAGGTATAACTCATATCAGAGAGCACAGCTCCAGTGTCTATGCTGTTCATTTCACTGTAGCCCACTCCCTTTCTAAACACTGTTCATGACACTGGGAAGACCACCCAGATGGTCACACAAGTAGCCAGAGCTACCTGCCACCAACAACCCACTGGGGTAGGGCTAGCACCAGATCAGAGCTGTTCTCACTGTCATACCTTGACCTCCCTTCCCTTCCCATTCTAGGGGACAAGGTCCAGACGTGGCAGCTGACCCACCAGCCTGTGCATGCTCTGGGGTCCACACGAGCCTCACAGCAAGGAAGTCTTGGAGATTGTTGAGCAGTGTATAGGTGACAGTGAAACGCTCGTAGGTCCGAACAGGAGACTCACAAGAAGCAGTCATCACAAAGCAGGGACGGTCAAGGCGGACACTGGGCAGGCTAGGAGCAAGGAGAGAAGGAGGCTGTATGTGTATGTCAAACAAAGGTGAGCAGGACAGAGCCTGGCAGGTGTTCCCACACACTCACCGATAGTGGGTATAGATGCTCTGAGTGAAGGGTAGCTTTGGGGTAGACCACTGAACCACAGCAATCAGGGGAACTTCAAGGCCCTGGTGGTTGGACAAAGGCAAACTTTCCATGTGTCAGTTCTCCTGGCCTTGGTCTTTCCCTCCCACTGCCTTTTCCTACCCTTTTTTTTCTTGAACACACCAGCCCCTTATGCTCACCTCCTTGGCCCCGGGAGGGGGCTGCTCATCCCCTCTCAGCTGAAATAGGAAGTTGTGTTCCTCCAGGGCACTAAGTGGGCAAGGGAAGCAGCCAGAGGTGCCAGGGAGCCGGCAGAAGGAGCCCATGGAGACTTCCCCAGACTGGTGACTGGTTCAGAAGAGAGGAAGGCAAGCCATGATTCTTCCATGTCACTGTTCTTGACCCCACTGCTTCACAGTTCTGCCCCTCCCCAGGACCTTACCACACGTTGTCCACCAGCAACACAGAGCCGTCAGGCATGACAGGTAGATAACTGGCATTGAAGTTGGGAAGGACTCGGATATCCCAGATGGAGATTTCCTCCTGGGAGGAGCTATTCAGCACTGTGGGAGGTAACCAGCCCTGCTCAGAATAGCCAGACCCCTCAGGCTCCTCAGGCCAAGAAACATGGACTGATCCCCACCACCCTGACTAACCACCATCCAATCAACCCCTTGCTGCTTTCCAAGACTTGAACCAGCAGATCCGCTCACCCTTGAGCACAGTCAAGTGTTTTCCAGCCACAGTGAACTGCCGGCATTTCAGAACTGGTGGAGGCAGCAGCGTCAGCAGGGTGCTCACTGCAAAGAGGGCCAGGAAAGAAAAGAGGGTCTGGCGCAGACCCTACCTCCAACCCACAGTTCTCACCTAGCAATATTACCCATCCCTCTACTCTGTCCCCCAAATCCCAGAATCCAGCCTTTCCCCTCTGCAGTCTCCTCCACACCTTGGGCCTTGAATGCACTCTGCTCGCCCCGGAAGGTCTCTCCAGGAGATCGTGTCTGCAACAAGCGCAGGTAGCCTTGATCTCTGACCTCTGGTGCCTCAACCTCCCGCTTCCACACAGTCACTACAATCTATAGGAGACAAGGGACCACATAGTCAAGAGACTGACAGCAGGCCCTTGAAAGGGTGTCTGAATTAGGACAGCAGCTCCACCCTTACCATCTTACCTTGGCCTTGGGTGTCCCTGGGGGCAGTCTATCCAGTGAAACAGTGAGAGGGAAGATGACCTCATCTGTGGACACAATCGGTTCCTCCACAGGCAGCTGGGGTTGTGCAAAGAGGTGAAGAGGTCAAGAGAGAGTCAAAGAGGTAGCTGTCACCATTCCCTTTAATACCCGCAGGGCAGTCCTTCGTGTCCTCCCTTCACTGCCACCTGCCTCTAGTCTTCCATTTCCCAAATTGCCTTTGGCGCCCAGCAGACCTGCCCCCCAGCCCAGTGCGATGCAGACCCGAGCTAGCTCCTCACCGTGGTCGCTCCCCCTGAGGTAGCTGGGCCCGGGCCGTGGGTGAGAAGGGGGCTGCAGCCTCGGAACAAGCCCCCACCCCCGGGATCCCCACCCCCTGGGGGCTCGGGGTCCTGCTCTCCGGTGCCACTGCCCCCGGGCAGCCCGCCTCCAGCGCTGACCGAGGCCAGAGCAGCCAGGGCGGTCGCCAGCTCGGCCCAGGCCCCCCGGGAGCCCAAACCCGGGCCGGCCCCGGCCCCCGCGCTGCCCCGGCAGCGCAGCACCAGCAGGAAGCGGACGGTCTCCCCCAGGTACAGATGGTTCCGCCGGGGCAGCGCTCTGTACCGGCCTGGGTCCCCCGCCAGCTCCGCGCGCGGCGGCAGCGGCACGGCCGGGAAGTACATGGAGTAGTCGCATTGAGACTCCATGGGGCGGCGAGGACCGGGCCAGCCGTGGGGCGAACCGAGCTGGGTCGGACCGGACCGGGCCAGGCCGGCGAGTCCCGACACTCGAAAGGCGCTACGCGCAGCCCAACGACCAGCCCGGTCCGGAAACCGGGGACAATGAACCCGGAACACAGACTCGGCGGCGCCGGAACCCCGGTGCAACACTGAATGACTGGCGAGAAACCGGAAACGGAAGGGGGTGTGGCCTCGGATGCCGGGTTATCTGTGTGTGGCGGGACCGTGGAGGGGGGCGGGGTCCGGGTGCAGTTAGGCTGCGGTGAGATCGTAGGACAGGACAGATGGGCTTCCTTGGGAAGGAAATATTTAAAAAAACACCCCCGCCCCTCAATCCCGCTTCTACCCGGAAGATTCTCCATCCCTACCCTTTCCGTCCTATATAAATCAAGTAAAAGTTTCGTGTCATTTATTCAGTCAACAAACGTTTCATAGTGAAATGAACATAGCCCCCCAAACAAATATATCGTTGAAAAACGGATGTATCATTCCAACTCACCATGCCCTAAACTTTCTCTGGCTCACTCCATATTTTACCTCTCCAGGGAGCTTTGGAGAGCGCTACACGGCTGCAAAGAGAAAGAGCAAAGTGGACGCAGGGGTGAGGCAGGGCTGGGGGTGGGGGGGGCAGAGGGTCCTCTGGGATTCTCAGCGCAAGGCCGAAGGCTTGAGGCCACATCAAGGCCAAGTTCCATCCCTTCCAAGGGAAGGAGAGGTTGCTCTGGCAGCCCCACACTTTATGACCTGAGTCCTAATTTGTAGTCTGATGCCTATGGGGACAGTAGCCTTGAAGGCTTGAGGGGCAGTGACACTGTAGGGGGGAATTGCTTGGCATCCAGCTTGTCTTTGTACTGTAGCTCAGGGGTAGCCAGGCGTTCACACTCCTCTTGATCTTGGGGGCTCAGTCCACTCTGAAGTACATACCCTAAAACCTTAGCTGACCCAAACTGGAAGGGGCGAAGCCTGCGGTCCTTGATGTATTTGGGATCTAAAGCCTCACCCCCTACCAGGCAATGTTGAGCCAGGGCCTCTCTGCGAGCCCGGAGCTCAGCCACAGCATGCTGCAGCCTTCTCTGGCCATATTGTTCTATGCGTTCCCACAGACTGCGGTTGAAGTGAATGTAGAGAGCCCAGTCCAGGTTGTTCCAGGCTCGCGCCCTCGCTGACAGCTGCTGCTGATCCTCAGCCATTGGTCCACTGTGGCTGAGGGCTTGCTCCCCTCCAGCCTGGGCATTGTGCATGAAGCCCACTACATCATCCAGACCCCAGCACAGGGCGTCTGCCAGCAGAACCAATGATTCGTCAAAGTATTCAGCCACCATGACGAGGTCAAAGACAGAATCCAGCCACGCCAGACCCCACTGGATGAAGGGTGAGGACCCCAAATCTAAAGAAGCAGGGCTGGCTGTCTGGCTGTGACCATCAGCAACTGTGGACACAAGTTGGAAGACAACGTTGGGATCTAGGACTTGGGCTCTTGAGCCAACAGCAGAAGGCAAGACTTGTAGCCGGAGGGAGTTGGGGTCTTTGGGGAGATTAGAATTTCCTCTTTTCATCCTTATCTCTGGGGGGAATGGCAGGCCAAAGTCAAACCAGAGTAAGTTGCGTGCATAGTGATCTCCACGGGCCCCAGGCCGGTAGAAGGCTCGAGGATTGGCCAGGAAGGCAGCCAAAGATGGTGCCTTACGGAAGGCGGATGAGGTGGATTTATAGTAGGAGAAGGCAGAGCGGGCCAGAGTGGCTGGGTCTCGGACAATGGAGAAGAAGAAGCTATCAGAAGGCATGACTTGAAGTACCTGCAGAGGAGAGAAGACAGATGTAGAAAGAACTGGGTTGGGGAGAAAAGTCCAAGCCAAGGTCCTGCTAATCCCCTAGCCTCCTCTCAGCTCTGCTGGGGACCCATAGCTTCCCTCTCTAGCTGCATGGCTTTGGGCAAGCTGCTAGATCATCTCTGAAACTCAATTTGCTCATCTGAGAAATGCGGATAATAAAGTTCCCAGTTGATTGGGAAGGATAAATGAGATAAAGGACATGACAGGCAGTGGATATACAGAAAATTTGCAAAGCTCACAGTGAACATTTCTTTCTTTCTTTCTTTCTTTCTTGGTACTGAGGTTTGAACTCAGGGCCTATACCTTAAGCCACTCCACCAGTCTTATTTTTGTGATGGGCTTTTTTGAGATAGGGTCTTGAGACCTATTTGCCCTGCTGGCTTCGAACCTTGATCCTCTTGATCTCTGCCTCCTAAATAGCTAGGATTACAGGTGTGAGCCATTGGCACCCAGCGTGAACATTTATTTCCTTGGACCTTTCTTCCCTGGTAAGTAAAACCTCTAGGAACCAAATTTTGTGCTCACTTGTCCAACAAAAACCTATTGAGTGTCTACTGTAGGACTTTTTGTCACAGCTCCAAGAAAGGGACTGCCCTCCCAGAATGGGAGGAGGGAGCACAGAGTGAGCTGGTGGCTCACACACATAATCCCAGCTACTTGGGAGGCTGACATTAGGAAATTCGGGGCCAGTCCGGCAAATAGTTTTCAGAACTCCATCTCCAAAATAACCAGAGCGAAATGGGGTGGAGATGTGGCTCAAGCTATAGAGTGCCTACTTTACAAGTGCAAGGCCCTGAGTTCAAACCCCAGTCCCACCAAAAAAAAAAAAAAAAGTTCTGCCTCCTGGACATTTTAAACAGCAAAGAACACCCCTGGAATAAGGCATGGGGAGCCCCAGCCTCTTGGTAGAGTTCTGCCCTGAGGCTGGGAAATGAGATTCCACTTCCTGACAAGGACAGTGGGAATCAGGCTAAGTGATACCCTGACATAGCTCTTTAGGCTGATCCACATCAAAATACAGCTCCTAGACTCCCTGAGGTCTTCTACCTCTGAAAATGACTTTCATGATTGAATCTGAGCTCTCTCTGTCATGAGGTTCTCCAATCTGCTCTGCTAAGTGGACATGCCCAGAGGGTAGAGTCTTTGAACGGTCTGTCTCTTTGAAGGCAAAGGGGATAGTGAATGGTCTCTGGTATCAGATGGACCTGGAATAAAACCCAAATTCTGCCATATACTAATTGTATGACTTTGTGCAAGTTATTGAATTTCTCAGTTCCTTTTTTTCCCCACTTATTCATTTGGTTAACACATACCTGGAAGAATGTGGAAGTGCCTAGAATATGGTAGATATTCAATAAATGGTCATCATCTTAGCAACTAGAGAGACTTACCTCAAAGATCACTGTCACTCCCAACAGTGACCCTCTCACTGCCCCTTAAGTCATCCTAATCTGTCCTCAACTCCAGCTTCAACAGGAGTGTCTCTGTAGCCCCTGATGAATTTCCACTACCTGTACATAATCCCCTTCTGACACACATGTGTATGCATGCACACACATGCACCATCATGTCATTGCTGATGCTTTGCTCCCTTTAAGAATGCCTGATGTAGGCACCCTCTCTTGGGACCTCTCCCAGCTCTGGGAGCTCTACTCTTTGCTATTTTTCTATCTCAGTAAACTCTCATGCTTTACTCGCAAAAAAAAAAAAAAAAAGAAAGAAAAAAAACCCAAGAATGTCTGGTGTTAGCTGGGTGTGGTGGTGCACCAGTAATCCCAGCCACTCTAGAAGTGGATTGTGGTCCTCCTAAGCAAATTTAGTGACAAAATCTATCTGAAAAACAAATAGAAAAAGGACTGGGGTTATAGCACTTGCATAGTTAAGTGTGAGATCCTCAGTTCAATCCCAAGATCTTGACCCGAGAGTGCCAAGCAAAAAAAAAAAAAACCAAAAAGAAAGAATACCTTATGTCCTTACTACAAAGCCATAGCCACCCTTTCCTTTAATCCCTCCTCTTTAGAAAGCCCCACCCCATTTGATGAATATTCTGTCTATGATTCCAAGTACAAAACCACATACACTTGCCACAGAAGGAGACTTGACTTTGGAGTAAATGGTCCTGGGTTCAAATCCTAGCTCTGCTGAAAATCACTTAGCCTCCCAGGGACTCCACATCTCCACATCTGTTTCATGGACACCCTTCCTGGCAAGATGATGTCACCTTGTGCTACAGTACCCAGCACTCATTAAGTAGTCAATAAAGGCTAATTCTTTCCCTGTGTATTTCCATTTGCGCATTGTTTTCCTACAGTAACATTTAGGTGTTTGTTTATATCAGATTGAACATGTCAGTGCATGTACTTTTCTCCTCAAAAAGGACTGGGGTTCTGTCCAACAACTATTCTTTCTCTTTCTTTTCTTTTTTTTTTTTTTGGCAGTACTGGGGTCTGAACTCAGGGCCTCACAATTGCTAGGCAGGCACTCTACCACTTGAGCCACTTTAGTGGCCTTTTTACTTTAGTAATTTCTTCAGATAGGGTCTTGTACTAATTTTTTGCCTGGGCCACCCCTGGACAGAGATCTTCTGTCTTAGCTGGGATTACAGGCATACACCCTAACATGTCTGTCCCTGTCCAACTATTCTCATTTGCTGTTTAGGACAGGGTCTTGCTATGTAGCCCAGGCTGGCCTTGAACTTGTGGACCTCCTGCCTCCCCCTCCTGAGTGCTGGGATTATAGATATGCACCACCATTCTAGGCTTTCAGTATGACTGTTCTGCTGTGCTTGGCTTGACACAGAGCTGATATGAAGCCTCAGACTGTGGCAGACATGGTGAGATGAGTGAGTGAGAGGAGAAGGAGGAGTCAGAAGGTATGAGTGGCAGAGCAGCGGCTCTGGTAGCATCAGTAGAAGGGCAAGGGGCACCTGGAGGGACAGCATGGGGGAGGAATCCAAGAAGGCAGCACACTGACCCACATGGAATAAATTAGTCAAGGAAAGAGACTGGAGTAAACCCCAGATGGGAGAGGGGAGACTGGCTCCCAGGAACCTCTGGATAAAGGACATCTGCAGAGATAGTAACACGAAATCCTGCCTTTATGCCCCACCACATCCAACTCTGAAGTTGAGGTGATGCTTGGAGACCCCCAGGTCCTGGGCCCCCTCCCCTGGTGGTATTGGCCATGGGCCTGAGAGCACCTCTTTCCAGCCCCACCCACCCCCGTTGCACCCCTCACCTCTTTCAGGTTGAATCTCATGTGGTGACAGAGGATGTGGAAGGAGGGCTGGGTGCCCCCACCCTGGGGACGGTAGCCCTTGACCCGAGAGGCCTGGAAAAGTCTTGGGTAGCCAAACTGGTAGCGAGCAGGGAGGGCGAAGCGCAGCCCATGCCGGTCCCCGTAGCGGTGAAGCAGGTTCAGCACAGAGCTGCTCCCTGATTTGTGTGTCTTTAGGAACACAAGTCGCTGCCGGGGAAGGCAGGACTGAACAGCTGGTCCCAGGGATGGGCCCCAGGACTGTCGGAGCTGCAACCCGGGTAGCCTGGGAAGAGAGACAGGGAGGGGCAGTGTCCTGTCCCTTGACAGCAAATAGAGCAGGTGACTTCTTATGAAGAAAGGACTATAGGAATGGAGGCTCCTCTGAGTTCCCAAGAATCCCAGCCCCAGGTGGGATGAGGAGGAACAAGTGATTGGGGGGGTGCATCTATGGAGAGATGGGGCAAGATGAGAACTCACCTCCTCTGGAAGGGTCCCCCCCAGAGTTGGAGGCCAAATCCGATGGTCATGAAGACTCCCAGAGCCACCCCCAGGCTCCGAGGCCCCCAGAGTCGCATAGTCCTGGCAGGAGACAGAGGGCCCATGTGGTACAGGGAAGGGGGACGCTAGGCAAGGACCAAGCCAGGGCCAGGCACAGAGGTAGAGACAGCCTGAGACAGCCTTCCAGCCGCAGAAGGCGCCGTTTGAAGATCGGGGGGTCATTCCCCAGGCCTGCTAGCAGCCCTGGTTGAGTCTGCCCCCTGAGTTAGCAGATTTTTGCCTCTGTCAGCGTCTAGAAGGGAAATGAGGGGGAAGGAGGGGAGTCTAAGAAGAGGAGTAGAACTTTCTCTTCTCTGGCTGCAGCAATAATGCAAGGAGAGGGAGCGACTTGGGTGCTCTCTACACTAGACCCTTGAAGGTGGCCCCAAAATTACTCCCTGTGCTACCAGCCTCCTGTGCTTATCTACAGTCTCCCCAGTCCCCACCTTCAGTTTCCCCTGATCTTGAATGAAACAGCCAGCAAAAGATATCAAACTGATTGGCTCATTATAAATTAGGTCAGGGTCCCTGGTTTCCTCCTGAGCCCCTCTGCAGATCACAAATGGGGATCGAGAGCCCCCTTCTGTGGCTAGGAGGGAAAATGATAAGGAGGGAAGAAGGATCAGGCAGGAACAGGTTGGGTAATCCAGGAGGAGAAAGGGAGGCTGGATTTACAGTAGTGATTTTGTAATGAGTAGGAACCCTGTGTCCTAAATGCAGGCAATTCTTCCTGCCCACCCCTCCCCCCTACTGCCAGCAGCTCTCTCAGCACAAGGTAGACCCCAGTATGCAAGAGGGGCTGGAGGACGAGATGTGGGGTTGCACATGAAGGCAAGACCCCCTGGACACACCCCCATCTCAACCCCATGATTGCCTGAGGAGAGGATAGGGAGGGAGAGAGTAGAAAACAGATAAGGAGAAAGGCACATACACTTTGAGTTCCTTCCCAGGCCTGAGCTTTCAAATCAACTGGGAGCCTGGCTCCACCCTTTCAGATTACAACCCACAATCACGGACCACCGCCCCTCCAACAAGCCTGGACAGCCCCCTTCCCAGACGAGCCAGAGGTGACCCCAGGCAAGAGAATCCACACTTGCTACCCAGAGACCGGCCCTCTCTGTAATCATCCCCAGCCCCCTCACCCATCATATCCCCCAAGATCCAGCCACGATCCCCCTATCCTGAGTTCATTTTCTTCTACCCATCTTTATTTCTTCCCACCGCCATCTCCATCCCAGCCCTGTGATCCCTTTCAGCTTTGGGGACTGCTCAGGCTGTTGCCAAGCTCTTTGTTGGTGTCCTTTAGGGTTCTTTCTATGAAACCCTCAAGTGTCCCTCCACTGGCCCCAGCTTTGTTTCACTTGCCCACTCACCAGGCCTTAATAGGAGCAGCAGGGAAATCAGGTCGCGTCCTTGAGCCCGCCCCAGCCACCGCCCGGCTCCTCGATCAGCTCAACTTTCCCCACAAACTTTCTCAGCACCCAGGCTCCTCCCATCCCCTCCCTTTGTCCCGCCAGTCCCAGCAGCTGCATCAGCTTTGATCGTGTCTGGGTCTCTCCCTCTCCCTTCGTCTTTTCCTCGTCAGGGGAAAGATCCGCCAGCCTGCCCTTGAAAGATGTTACTTCTAACCTCCTTTCATTTAGGGATCAATGATACTGCTTTCTGTCAGCTTTCTACAGGACAAAAGATTCATTCACATGAAAGAAGAAAGGGAAAAGAGGAGGAAAGATGGAGGGAGAGAGAGAGAAAAAAAGAAAGGAAGGAAGGAAGGAAGGAGGGAAGGAAGGAAGGAAGAAAGAGAAAGAGAAAGAAAAAAAGCTGAAAGCAAATATTGTCAGGGATGTGACATGTAGCCAGAGACTGACACCCAGAGAACAAGGATCCCCACTCTAAAGGCAGAGGCAGTGATACAGTGATATTAATAATTTTTGGTGTTCAAAGAGAATTTGCAGGTCACAAGGTGATTTCTCACACTGTTCCTGTTTGGTTTCCACAATTCTTCCTGTTTATGGATGAAGATGCTCTGACTTACAGTGTGAGCAACCTAGGTCACTCTCTTCTAGGGCTGCTCCCAGGGGAAAAGTTCCAAAAGAGGCAAGGAGGCAGAGCCGGGCGCAGGCTCTTGCTGTAATCCTAGCTTAGCTACTCAGGAGGCAGAGATCCAGAGGATTGAGGTTTGAAGCCAGCTGTAGAGCAAATAGTTCAAGAGACTGTCTCGAAAATAACTCATCACAAAAAAGGGCTTGCAGAGTGGCTCAAGTGGTAGAGCACCTGCCTAGCAAGTATGAGGCCCTGAGTTCAAACCCCAGTACCACAAAAAAAAAAAAAAAGGAAGCAGAAACTGAACCAGTCACAGAGAGACACCCTAGGGCCTCTGCTAGGAACCAGAAATTAGGAAGGAACATTAAAGACATACAAAAATCACAAACACAAGGTCCAATAAATTACCTTTTATTTACGAATGAACACTGATTTGAACACTGACATGGAAGTTTGTGAAGGACATGAATGGCAGAGGTAATGAGTGACCCCCCCCACCCCATTTTATATTTATGTTAAGAAACCGACATGGAAGAAAATCAACAGAACTCAGGACCATCAGCCTACTTATACATCCCCAATCCCCTGCCCTGCACCCCCTCAGTACCCAACTTTACCCATTTCTTTTTCTTTTCCCTTTGAGACAGGGTCTCACTATGTAGCCCAGGCTGACCTGGAACTCTTCCTACCTCAGCCTCCTGAGTGTTGGGATTATAGGAATGTACCACCACACTGGGCTAGGCTTTGTCCATTTCTGAGACCAGGTACCCCCATTCCATTAGAGTTCATCCCTCCCCACTTCCAACTTCCTTCAACCCCATCCCCCAATGCCATTTCTAAAACTCTTCGCCCGTTGCCCTTGTTGGGACTGATCACTAAACAGCCCCACCCGTAAAGGGCTAAGACCACACCTCCTTCCTGAATAAATACCCCGTTACCAAATGAAAAAATAAATATTGTGAACACCCACCCACCAATGCCCCAATGGGAATCTCCTGTATTTGGGGCCCCAGCCAGTCACCCACAAAGTCCCTTTACCATTCTCTGTGTAGCCCCCTTCAACTCTTCCCCAGGCCCAGCTGAGATGGGGAGGAGGGGAAAGAGCCATTAACCCTTCTGATGCTCGGGCACCCCTCTCCTGTTATCGAGGTCCAAGCACGACCAGGGCTAAGGGGAAGAAAGTAAGAATGGGTGGAGTCTGGAGGCCAATAGACGTCCCCTGACTCCTGCTCCTGCCCTGGTTGTAGCGGGCACTGCCACCTCCTCCTTTGCCCCCAGGACCGTCCCTCCGAGGAGGACGAGGAGGTCTTGGAAGTCGGGCTGGGGGGGGCACAGGTGCTGTCCCAGCCTTCCAGTCATCTGCATACTGCTGTCCCCCTCCTGAGCCACTGGCATCTTCATCTGCAAGGAGGGAGAGGGACAGATCGGGTGGGAAAGAGAGATGAAAGAGACAGAGGGAGAGAAATTGAGATTAAAAACAGAGAGCGAGCGAGAGAGACACAGGTAAAAGAGGTGGGAGGAAGGCAGGAGAGAGAAAGCATAATCAGACACCAGACATGGGGATGAGAGAAGACGGACAGAAGAAAGAAGAGACGATGAGACACAGAAAAAAGAGAGATGATGAGCGAGGATAAACAGAAAAGACAAAAAAACAGAAGTACACAGACGAATGGGGAAAAGGGTGGGGAGGACCAACAAAGACACAGACAGGAGAGAAAAAATAAATTTGCCTTTCTTCTCTGGCTAATTCCACTTTGGCCTACCCAGAGCCACCCCAGCTTTTGCCCTTTATAAGAGTTTCCTCTGCTCTATAAGAATGTTTGTGTCTCCCACTACACTGTGAACTCAAGGTTGGAGGCCTCCCATTGGTCTATTGCCCCTGGCTTTGAGGTAGGCGCTCAGTAACTGCTCAAGTAAACTGGATTAGATGAAAAGCGGCGGGGTGAGGGGCGGGGCTCTCTGAAGCAGTGGGTTGGGTCTCGGAGATATTGGACGTGTCTCTCAGACAGTGGGCGGGGCTTTCGGGGACAGTGGGCGGGGTCTCTGAGACAGTGGGCGGGACTCTCAGAGATAGTGGGCGTGGCTCTCGGAGGCTGTGGGCGGGACTTTCAGAGGCAGTGAGTGGGGCTCTACATCCACGGCTCCGCGCCTCACCTGCGTCGCGCATGTCCAGGTCCTGTCCGAGCGCGGCCGCCCTCATCCTGGCTGTGGCCGCCCGGAGATGCAACCGGCGCCGCCGCGTCGGGACATCGGGGCCCGAAGTGTCCCCTTCCAGCTCCGGGTTGTGGAGCTGCTCGGTCGGGGAGCTCCCGACCACGGGCTTCAGATACCTGCGAGCACATCACCCCCGAAAGCTCCCCTGCCCGTTCACCCGCTCGTCCACCCACCCGCGGTCACCGCGCGCGCGGCTCTCACCGGCCTCGCCCAAGTCCGGTCCAGCAGGGTGCCGCCTCCTGCGAGATGTCCGCAGCCATGCGAGTGTCCTCGCACACGGTCAAGGGCAGCCCAGCCCAGAAGCCCCGCACCCGGCCCAGCCGCTCGCGGAGCTCCAACACCTGTGCAAGAGAAAGAGGGCGAACCGAGCTGCTGCTGGGCCCCGCGTCCACCTCCGCGGTGCCTGCCCACTCGCCCGCCCGCCCCTGCCACGCACGAGCCGGTGCAGGTTGGTGCCCGCCGCCGTCGTGGGGCGCTCCTCCTCGGCCGACGCCCTCCATGGCCGGCTCGCTTCTTCCCAGGGTGCTGGTGCTCGGCGGTGGCGAGCAGGCACTGGGTGGGGGGTCCCGCATTCCTGAAACACCTGTGCACAGAAAGACTCTTCCATACAGCCAGCCCGAAGTGAACCCGCACTCTATCCCCACCATCTCTCTGACACCCCACTCTGTCTCCCACCTCAGGCCTCATGTGCACCTTTTCCTCCCCTGTTCTTGGGTTGATACCAAGCACTATTACCCCACCCTTTACCCCAGGCCTCACCTCCACCTTCTCCTCCCCATACCTTGGCTGCCACCTTCACACTGTTTTCCTGCAGGTGCATCAAACCCTCTGAGATTCTCACCCCAATGGACTCAGCAGCCAGCTCAAAGGAAAAGGGCCCCTGGAGCTTTTCAGCTAGCAGCAGGAGACCATCTTGAGCAAGGGGGAGAATGAGAAAGGGGGGAATATGAAAAGAGGTGCACTGAACAAGATGTCCCCACAAATCCTCATGGGAAAGGAGAGAAGTGTTGGCAGGGGAACTCACATAGAGAAGAGCCCCCTCCCTCATATTCTACCCTCAGTATGGCTTTAGGCCCCCTCCTCCCTTACACACACAGCCCACAGCCTTACTCGGGGGCCCTCCTCCATCCCCAGCTTTCTTGGGCCCCCTCACCCAGATAGCTGCCCCAGTCAGGTTCCAGTCCCCTGCTGCTGAGACAGCCCTGGGCCACATTGAGGCAGAAGCCCCTGCAGGGCATAAGTGAGGGGACTCCCCGGCAAAGGGGGCAGCCAGTCAGACGCATCAGAGCCTGCCTGCAGCCTTCAGATACGGACACCTGGGGGTAGAGAACTGAGCTGTGCATCCACGAGCACCTTGGCAGCTCTCAGCCAAACCTGGTGCTGGGCACAGGAGAGTCAAATACCCCATTCCCACCTCCCCAGGCTCTGTGTGATCTGTACCACAAGACTGTCACAACTGAGGAAGGAGGTTCCTAGGGTCCAAGTCAAACATTCTGCGTCATGGGGGTATGTTAGGAATCTGAGGGAAGGTTCAAGGGCAAGAGTGAGCCGATCATGGCTGGGAAGGAGGAGGTCGGAGGTAAGGCTGGAAGATTCGGGGTCAGGATGGGTGACCAAGGGAGGCCTTCAGCGTCAGGTAAGGGGGAGACATTGAAGGAGCCTAGGGGATGGGGGCGGGGCACAGAATTCCAATCTTGGACTGTTATGGAGATGAACAGGCCTTCAGAAGCTGGCAGGGGGTGTGAGTCACCAGAGGGCAGGAGAGGGTCAGAGGTCTTAGGAGAGGATGTCATGACCCAGTGGAGACTTGTTGACTCTGGCTTTCCTCCTTACTAATTTACTCTGTGATGCCAGGACCTGGAGGCTAATATGGGAAGGCTGGGGTCTCTCCCGCCAGCTGGTGCTTATCTCTTTCTCATGGGGTCTCTCCCACTTGTGCCTCTTCCTCCCTGTGCCTACCCACCCTCGACCCCATCCACCATGGCCCCCCACACACACTTTGGCCCCCTCTAACCTTAAGTGCTTCACTGACCACATTTTTTCCAGTCTCCAGGCCCTGGACAAAGGCCCGGGCAGCCACCAGGGCCCGGGTTATCTGGAGAAAGGGAGAGAAGGTGAGAAAAACAAAGTTGTCATGGGTCAGTCAAGACTGCGTATGTGTGTTTGTGGGGAGGGTAGTTTTGAGAGGTTATCTTGGGGTGGGTAGAGTGTCAGGTGGTATAGAGAAGCAGGTTCAAAAGACCCAAGGGAATTAAAGTCTAGAATGCTCCAGGGGAACTGGGTTTGGGAAGAGATGGAGGGATCATATTGCACAGGGCTGGGAGACAGAGAGACTGTGTACCAGGAACTGAACTTGAATCCAGAAGACTGGATTCACTTACTGGCTATAAGACCTGAACCTCTGGGAGCCCCATTTTCCTCATTGGTAAAATATCTCAAAGACTTATGACAATTAAGTGAGATACTACTGGGGAAAATGCTTCTCAAGTATTGAATGTCTAATTCATGTTTAGTTGAACTAGAGGAAGTCATGACAGTAAGATCAAGGAGTTGGCATAAAGGTGGCTGGGGATTGAGAGCAGGTGAATGTTTGTATAAAACTAAGGCAAAGAATGGGTAAAACTCCCAACTGGTGGACGAATTCAACTGAATGAAACCAAGGAGCATTGGGTCCGTCAGGTATAAGTGAGGCTTGAGATAGGAGTCACCAGGTCAAAGATGGCCAAGATGTAGAATGGGGAAATTATGAGGTCAGAGGTAACTTGAGCACAAAAGGGAAGAGAGGGGGTTTGGAGGTGAGTGGAACACAGTTTAGAGGTGGCTGTGTCTCAAGCCTCAGAACCCCTCACCTGCAGGCGGAGGCGACGGGGTGAGTCCCCGAAGGGCTGCAGAGACCCATCAGTAGTTGAAGTGAGGCGCGTGAGGCAGAGCAGGAAGTCAGGGGGGAAGCTGTATTGTGGGTGCAGCAGGGGGAAGGCTCTCTCCAGGAGCTGTGCCCAGAAATCTGCCAAGGTGTCATCTAACCCCTCACCAGACTTCTCATAGTAGTCCCGCAGGCGAGAAAACAGACCATTGAAGATGAGGGCGTGCTGGGAATACAGGCGGCCATAGGAGTGCGTGAAGAGCTGGACCAAGGAATGCTGGGATATGGACAGCATCTCCCGAAAAAACTCTAGCAAAGGCAGGGAGTAGGGGCAGATGGTTGAGACCACGGAAGGGGAGAACAGTGAACGAGCAGAGGCAGGAGAGGATGGGGATGGGGAGAAGAGAAGAGACAGTGAATTAGAAACTGAGCAACTCTCAGGAGACCCAGGAGATGGCAGGATCCTAGAAAGAGTCTGGGGTGGAGACTAGGGACAAACAAAGCTGGGAGGGGTGGACTGCTTTAGGATTGAAGTAGGAAGAGGGGACAGGAAGATTGTTGGGGTTACAGGCACAGAGAGGAGGTGTGTAGTGCATTTGGTCCTCACCATTAAACTTTCTGTGCCGGGCAGCCAGCGTGTGAACCAGAAAGGAGCCACTGTCCTCCACCAGACCTCGGAAGGTGGCTTCAGTTTCTCTGATAAGCTTCTGCTCTGTCTCACTGGAACAGCAGGTGTATTCCTGGGGGCAGATCTGCAGGTGCTCACCTGGACAGAGGAGGCAGGAATGGCGGCAAGGGATATTATGAAATTCCTTTCATCTACCCTCTATCTCTGGGAGCTGTCCTTTCTCTTCTACCGGTCTGAGCTTTTTTTCTTTTCTTTTTTTTTTTCTATTGTCTTCCTTCTTGTCCCTACCTAACCCCTTATTGTCCCCTCACTCATCCCAAGTCCACCGCCCTTTGCCATGGTATTATCTATTTGACAGCTGCCCTGATTAGTGATCAGAGTGTCCTCAGATGACACCCTCCCCAACATTTCACACCCCTGGCCTCAAAGGAGTTGATGGGACAGCTTCCATGGGATGAAGAATGTGATGGGTTTGCTGGAGTGGGTGGGGTTACCTGGTGAGCAAGAAAGTATTATCATAGAAGCTCACAGAAATAGTGAAGGGAACCTGGCTGTGAAGACTAGGGACAAGCAAAGCTGGGAGGGGGTGGATTTCGGGGCGGGGTGCAAATTATCAGGGGGATCCCGAGGTGGAGGAGGAGTAACAGCTATGTGAGCAGGAGGGTACTGTGATCCTAGTAAGGAAGTTACAGGACGACGAGAGCGATCACAATGGGATGAGAAGATTATTATAACGGTCACTCTGAAACGGAAGAGTTATTGTGAGACAGGGAGGACCCACCCCCGCCCCCCACCCCCGATTCTCTAGTCTTCCTCTTTCTTCTCACCTGAAATTAGGGCGGGAGGGATTAGGTTTAAGCTATATCCCCGTGCCCCCAGCACCTGCCGGGTCTCTGCACAACTCCTGGTGACCTTTGCCTCGCTCCCAGGTCCTGGTCCAGGACCGGGACACAGAGGCAGCAGCAGAAGCAGGAGAGATCGCAGCGCGAACATAGCTGCAGCCTCCCTGGGACAGCAAAGTGGGTCCTAAAGGGGAAAGAAGAGCAGCCCAAACTCCAGAATCCGGTTCTCGGCCGCGGGATCGCTTTGCCAGCCAGAGAAAGAGCACGACCCCCGAAAACTGAGCACCCAGCAGGATAGCTGGACCAGGCGGCATCTGCGGAGACAATGGGAGCAGGGAGCCGGACAGGGGGCGGGGCCCGAGGCGGGGCCCTGCCAATGATAATAAGAAGCAGGCCTGAGGGGCGGGGTCAAGGGAGAAATTAAGCCAATGTAGTGGGGAAGTTCGGCAGTGGGGCGGGACGCGGCCGTACTAAGGAGGTTAGCGAGGTGGAGGCGTAGTCTTTCCCAGGGGGCGTGGCTAGCTCGCTCGAAAGGCGGGGCTTGGGTAAAACCCAGCCTATTACAGTGCAGAAGTCAAATCGAAGGCGTGACTACTAGCCTAGCCCGACGCTGGGCCAATGGAGGTGGGACTTTGGGAGCAGAGGGGGCGGGGCCAGGGTGGAGCAGAGTTAAAAGCGGGCGACTGCACATGAACCCACGTGACAGGACCTCAGGCCTGAGGGCTGGTAGCTTTACGAAGCCACCAGAACCGTGTGACTGGAACGTGGTGAGCACGAGCTCGCCGGCTCTCAAGTCTCGCGACAATTCTTAGACCTGAAGGTGGGCGAAAGTTGGTCTCGCGCCTGCGCACAGTGTATTTCGTGCCTTCCCGCGTTTTTTCTAGAGTCTTCTACCACCAGAGGAAGGCAGGCGGTGGTCGTATGTGTCTGAGGTTGGGCGACCACAGAGCCCTGAAGGACTCGAGGCGGTGACTTTCCTCAGTCAGAAGTCACTCTTCGGGGCTCAGACTGTGAGGTTCCCCCTTTGGCCCTACAGTAGCACCCCCCTCCCTCATTGGCCTCCGCGGCCCGCGTCTCGGTGGCGTCCGCCGTGGAGGCCGAGAATCCCACTCCGCGTCGCGGAGAGGCTGAGGGGTCCCAGAGCGGTGGGAAGGCGTTTCGGCCGCCGGGGGCTTCAGGGGGCCCGCCCTGGACTCCCGCCTTCTGGGAACGTGGTGAACGTGCGCCTCCGTTTACTCTCTCGGCGTTCCCGTCCCGGGGCGCCCGCACCCCAAATCATGGAGAGCGGGCCAGCCCGTCCTGAGGGACCAGGACGTGATTTCCAGACGGGGAAGACTGCGCTCTACAGGCCTTCTTCCCTTCTCGCTTCCATTTCCCTCCTCCTCCCCCTTCCTCCCCCTCTCTTCTCTCTCCTCTGCCATACTTGTTCCCTAAGGTGCTGGGGTTTGAACTCAGGGCTTTCACACCAGCACTTACGATGTTGTGTGTGTGTGTGTGTGATGGGTTTTTTCAAGGTAGGGTTCCCCAGCTGTTTTCCCAGGCTGGCCTCAAACCGCGATCCTCCTCATTTTTGCCTCTTGAGTAGCTAGGATTACAGGTGTGAGCCACCCGCGCCAGGCACTTTCCTCCTTCGGAGGTAGTTTGAACCCAGCCTCGGGCTTGCTAGGCAGGCACTCTGACATTTAAGCCTCGCCTCTAGCCCCTTTCTCTTTTCATTTCTCTCTCCCCCTTCCTCTCTACTCCTCTCTCCCTCCTTCTCGCCCTTTCTCATTTCTTTTTTCTCCTCTCCCTCCATCTTTCTTTCTCCAGCCCTTCTCCTCTCTTCCTCTCCTTCCCTGTCTGTTCCCCCTTCCTTTTTTCTTTTTTCCTCTTCCTCTCCCTCCTCTCTTTCTCCAGTTCCTTTCTCTCATTTTTTTCTCATGTGAGCCTAATTCTCTGCACCAGCCAGTTTATGCTGGGAAAGCTGTAAGGGGGCCGTGTCTGAAGCTGCTCTTGTGTGTGCCTTGTGTGCTGCTTGGAGAGAACTGCCACCCCTCTGGCTGCTTTGTTTTATGCGGTGCTGGGGATAGAACCCAGGGCTTCTTGCACACTGGGTGGTATAGAGCTAGGCAAGCTCTATACCTCCCAGTCAGCCGCGGCCCCAGCCCTTAGAGCACTTGTGTCTTTAATATCCTGATGTTATTACGTAAGTGTCTTATTTTTGGTTCCCCCATTCCAGGGCAGCTCCCATGGAGAGAAAGGGAGTGGTCAGCACTGGGGATGGAGAAGTGGTGGGGTAGGAGCCCTTTCTCTCTTTCCCTCAGGCAGGCCACCATGCCTACTTTACGGTCATCTTCCCGGCTTAATAGCAGCTCCTCTCCAAGCAGTGTGTCCTCCCCACTGCAAAATGCTGTACGAGGCTCACAGAGGGCCTTGTCTGCATCTTCTAGCTCCTCCATCAATGTGCCCTGTGATGACAGAGACTCAGACCAGGCTTCAGAGTGGTGAGTGGAAATGATGAGCTGAATTGTGTGGTGGGGCCTCTTCTGTATCCAGGGCAGGTTGCCTCTCATCATTTTTCTGCTCTGGTTGGAATAGGCATGTGGTCCCCGCCAGTTCTGCTGGCTATTTCTTGGCTGCCCTACACCTTATAGGCATCAAGAATAGCACCTTTTATTTATTCATTTATTTATTTTTGTAATACCTGTTTATGACTGACTGATTTAGTTAGGTGGAACTGGGATTTGAACTCAGAGCCTTGTGCTTGCAAAGCAGGTACTCTACCACTTGAGCCATACTTCCAGTCCAAGAATAGTACCTTTTAAAAATAATTAATCAAAAAATAAAGCAAAAAGGATTGCAGGCATGGCTCAACTGGTAGAGCAGTTGCCTAGCAAGTGCAAGGCCCTGATTTCAAACTCCAGTACTGCCAAAAAAAAAAAAAGGAAAAAAATAGTACATTGGTTATTTAATCTTCTCTGTTACCATACATATTGGTACATCTTGTTTTGAATTTGTTCTCCAATGTGTTTAAACTGTCTTGACAACATTTCTGTGTTTAGGTACAAGCACTGGTGGAGACTGGGGAGTGTGAGATTTACAAATAAGCATTTTAGTTGTCTAAAAAATTGTATATACTTTTTAGTTGGTCTCCTGTAGTTCTCTTAATTGAGATTTTGTGAACAGGTTCATCCTTTTTTTTTTTTCCTTCTTTTTGAGGTGCTGGGGCTTGAACTCAAGGCCTACACCTTGAACCACTTCACCAACCCTATTTTTTTGGTGTTTTTTTTTTTTTTTTTTTGAGATAGAGTCTCATAAACTATGCTCAGTCTGGCTTTGAACCAAGATCCTCCTGATTTCTGTCTCCTGAGTAGCTAGAATTACAAGTGTGAGCCACTGGTGCTCAGCACAATCTATCCTTATCTTTCATGGTTTATGAGTTTATTCTAAGAAGGTTATCATAATATATTTTGTTTTTTTTAATCTTTCCAGGGAAAAAACCTAATCCTCATACAAGTTCTACTTTATCTCACTTATTTTAATTGACCTCTGAATCATTTGTGTTTCTATCTGTGCAGCTGTTGGGGACTAGTTTATATCAGTGTTATAAACTTTACTCACTAGAATGTGGTATGTTTCAAGGAGTGAGATGTGACACCAGGTACTCCTATTAATGTATAAGTGATACATGACTTCCTAAGCCAGGCTGATTTCTTTTCCACAGAATCATTCCTCTGCCTGCGAATATCACTTGATTCTCTTTATTTGGAGAGAATATTAGGAAAGGGTTGTCCTTAATACATTTCAGTTCTTCATCTTCATTGTTCTCAAGTGAAAGTTGTCTTTTTAGACTTTGTCCCTACTTTCTTGTATCAGTAAGCTCGTTTCTTAAAATCTGAATATGCTTTTCTCATGAAGGTAGGGTAGAGATAAAGAAATTATTTGTTGACTCTTCACATAGAGGGAATGGGTTGGTTGTATTTAAGGAAAACTGTACTCCATATAGGGATAGTCACTCTCTGTCAGCTGATGAAGGCAGTGACTTTGAAGATAGCTTGAGAAGAAATGTGAAGAAGAGAGCAGCAAAACGACCACTCAGAACAACCCCGGTGAGTCAGTTTTATTTCATTTTTGAACCTGGTCTGGGAGTTGGCAGAAGAAAACCTAGAGGAGACTCAGGTAATATGGTTAATGGAAGGACAAACTTAATAGAGTCTTAAAGGACCGAAGTAGGAAGAACACAAATTTTGAGGAGAAAAGAATAAGAGAAGAGACCATCATAGAGATACAGGAATGGAGCTCACACACAGACTTTTTAAAAGGAGAAAAGGTTAGGAAGAATCAAGTTCACAGCAGTATAAAATCAGTTTTTTTTTTTCAGTTCTGAGACAATATTGGAAATTTTGCCGTTTAGTTGGCAGCTTAAGCTGACTTGTGTGATAATGATACCAAAGTGAATGTTAACATCACTCACTGGGAGAAATGACCCAAGCCTTGTACGCATATATGAATAATAAAACAATAAAAAAAACACTCACTTTTTTTTGTATGCTAATCTTTTTTGTACTTACTAGGTGGCAAAATACCCAAAGAAGGGGTCCCAAAGTGTACGTGGTAATGGCCAGAAAGAAGCAGCACCACCAACCAATGATCTCTTTGATGCTGTGAAAGCTGCCAAGAGTGACATGCAGGTAAAGCAGTGTGCCACTTCTGTTTCTTGATACCATCTCACTCTTTATAGGGTAGGAAGGTGAGACGTGTTTACAAACTTAATTCTATGTAGACATTGTAGCAATTATGCCTGTGTCCCAAGATGAGACCATGGAGAGAACTCCTTGAGTGATATAAGGGAGACCTTAGGTGAGAGAGAATGTTATTTGCCTAAAGATACCATAGAACAGGAGCAGTTTCGCTTTTATTGATTGGTAGAGCAGGTCAGGAAAGACCCCGGATGACCTAGGAAGCCTTGGTAAGGGTGGCAGCTTGTCACTTGTTAGCTCTACCTTGACAAATATATCTAATTGTTTTTCCCTCCCCACATTTTTAATGTTTTTATTGCACATGTATCATCTAAAAATATACAAAGTCACATGTATAGTTTAAAAAATAAAAACACTGGGCTGGGGATGTGTCGTAGAGGCAGAGCTCTTGCCTAGTATACACGGAGGCCTTGGGTTGGAACCCTACCATAGCAAAGAATAAAAACAGAAACAAAATGATCACCCAAGTCTCTTGCCCCCAACTCAAGAAATGAAACATTAATAGCGTTATAGAGGCCCCTTGTATGTATTCTCTCCTCCCTAGTCCTCAATCCCCTTACCACCCAGAGATAACTACTAGACTGAATTTTGTGTTTAGCTTTGTTATTATAGTATTATCACCAACAAATGTGTTTCTTGATTTATATAAGTGAATTAATCACTAGTCTTCTATGACTTGTTTCCATTAACATTGTTTGAGATTTATTCGTATTGATGTGTAATGTAGATTTTTATCATTTTAGGGAAGTATTTTAAATTATCAAACATGATGTTTTGATAGTTATTTGTCTTATAACTGCATTACATTATAGCCAGAGAATGTGGTCTTTGGTTTGTAGAGACAGCTCTGTGACCTAGTATTTAGTTAGTTTCCAAAACTGTACAGGTACTTGAAGAGAATGTGTGTTCTCTAGTTGTTGGATGAGGTGTTCTGAATATAATACTATTTTGATATTTCTGCTGTTGTTGGCTTTATTTTTTGTTTCATTTTGTTCTCTGTAATAAGTCAATAACAGGTGTGTTAAAAATATATGAAGGTTTTCAGTTATTCTTGTATTTGTGCCCATTTGTCTTAAATATTTTGAGACTTTTAAAGTTGTATACAGGTTTATTTTATATATGTTTTTGGTGGTGCGAGGGTTTGCTATCAGGGCCCAGACTGGCTTTGAACCACCATCTTTCCTTTCTCTACCTCCCCAGTAGCTGGGTTTACAGGTGTGAGCCATCACGCCCGGTACATACAGGTTTATAATTGTTACCTTCCTAGTAAATCAAACCTTTTGTTTTATTCTGTACTGACACTCTTCCAAAACATGATTTGTTTGATATTAATATATCTTAATACTAACTTTGTTTTTTGTTAGTAATTTGTCTGGTTTTATATCTTTTTTGCTTTCAGTTTTTCTGTGTATATTTGGGGTCTGTCTTGGTATGTATCTGGAGTATGTTCTGTTCTTTATCCATTTTGTTAATCTGTGCTTTAACTAGAGTGTAATACCTTTACATTATTGTCACTGTTGATAAATTTTTTAACTTTTGCAGTGCTGGGAATCAAACCCGAGACCTGTTGCTGGCTATACCCCCAGCCCTTTTTGATACAGGGTCTTGCCATGTTTCTCAAGCTGGCCTTGAACTTGTTTGCAGTCCTTCTCGTGCCAGTGGGATTGCAAGCATGCACCCCTATGCCTGTCATATTAAATTTATTTCTAACATTTTGTGTGCCTCAACTTCTTCTTGCCTATTTCCCACTTTTACTTGACTTTATTTTAGATGTCTGTCTTTGATGAGGACCTGAGCACATTTTAACTCCAATTTATATGTTGCGCAGTGTTTTAGTTCTGTTCCCTTTCCCCATCAAATTAGACTTCACTGTTTTATACAGTGTATGTCCAGGGGCTGGTGGAGTGGCTCAAGTGGTAGAGTGCCTGCCTAGCAAGCATGAGGCCCTGAGTTCAAATTCCAGTACTGCCAGAGAGAGAGAAACCAGTATACATTTTTTTCCCTAGTCTTTAGTGGATGAGTGGCTGGATAACTACAAGCAAGATGAGAGTGCAGGATTCCTGGAGCTCATTAATTTTTTTGTCCGATCCTGTGGATGTAAAGGTGAGGAAACTTTCTACCCTTTCTGATGCCCAGTCTTTTGCTGTTGTGTTATGAAACTCTTCCTCCATTTAGATGAGTAGGATTAGACATCTTGTAAATAAAGGAAGAAAATAAAGCATATGAAGAGCTTTACTTATTCAGCTACATTTTTGAGGGGTAAATAAGGGAAGTAATCCAGTAGGGAACTGTGTTTGTTTTGAGGCAATACTTTTTGGGGAACAATAATCATACTTATGTAATGCTAGTGATATTCACAAATTTGAAAGTGTACTATCAGATAGATGCCTTTTAACCTTTAATGAAATAATCTCTTACTCTTAGTCCTTATTTCTCAGTCATTTCACCTAGATTTTTCCTCTGAAGCTATGGAGCCCCAAGATCTAAATCATGGCATAGTTTACTGAGGCAGATAATATCAGTAGGGTTGTATCATAAGAATCCAGCAGCTGAAGCCAGGCGTAGTGGTGCCAGTCTGTAATCTTAGCACTGGGGAGGCTGAAACAGAAGGGTTGTGAGTTTGAGGCCAGTCTGGGCTACTTGGTGAGACCCTGTCTTAAAAAAAAAAAAAATCCAGCTTAGTCTTTTTTTTTTTTTTTTTTTGCTGTTTTCTTTTTTAAAAAAATTGTTAGGGGAGTCTTTGTTTGGTGGGACTGGGGTTTGAACTCAGGGCTTCACACTTGCAAAGCAGGCACTCTACCACTTAAACCACAACCTCCAGTCCATTTTGCTCTGGTTATTTTTGGAGATGGGTGTCTTGTCAATTATTTCCCCATACTGGCCTTGAACCTTGATCCTCCTGATCTCAGCCCCTCAAGTAGGTAGGATTATAGGTGTGAACCACCAGTGTCCAGCTTGTTAGGGGTCTTTTTAAAACCATAGTTTTTCACTACTTGATTCCTTTGAGTCTTCTCATGAGGTTACCTCCTAGCAGATATACAATTGGATGGTGGCAGGCTTATGACTAGAATTCAAGTCTTGTCATTCCTCACCTAAGCTCTTTTTCCTATGTTCCCTAGCTCATCTTCACATGTATCTGTAAATGATTGATACGTACTACTTTTCTTTTAAGTATCTCATCTTTCCATTCTTCAGGCACTGTGACCCCTGAGATGTTCAAGAAGATGTCCAACTCAGAGATCATCCAGCACCTGACAGAACAGTTCAATGAGGTGCAGAAATATGATTAGGATCCCCTTGCCCTTTTATTTCAAAAACATAAGGCCTATTACCCCATTCTTTCTGATTCTGGGAAATAAGGTAGTTTTTAAAAGGAGAGCTGATCTCTTGGAGCTAAAAGGGACCCATAGACATGATCTGTTATGCCTCTGAAATTGGGGAAAGTAACAGAAAATGAAGTCTGTTAGAGATACATGTTAATAAAGTGTTTTGACGTCCAAGTTCCTGTGGCTTCATGATCCTGATAATAACTTTTTTTTTTTTCTTAAACTCTTCTGTAGGACTCAGGGGACTATCCTCTGACAGCTCCAGGTTCATCCTGGAAGAAGTTCCAGGGAAGCTTCTGTGAGTTTGTGAGGACTTTGGTCTATCAGTGTCAATACAGCCTCCTCTATGATGGCTTTCCTATGGACGACCTCATCTCCCTGCTTACTGGCCTCTCAGACTCCCAGGTTCGTGCTTTCCGTCACACTAGCACTCTGGCTGGTGAGTATTCATTACTCTGTAGGCTATCCTAGAGATACATAGGACTTTCTTCTCTGGTTCTGGATCTTCCTTCCCACCTGCATTTTAACTCTTTATTTCAGTTCCTTGGTACTTTTATTCCAAATGTCCGTGCAATTTCCCACTAGTGGACACATGAAAAGGAGTAGATCACAGTAACAGTCCAAATAGCTTTCTCATAGTTCACCCCTTGGAATATGCTAATCATTAAAAGAAGACCAAAAGAGTTGAGGGGAAAAGGCTACTCCAAGGCAGAGAGTCTTAGGACTTTTGGGTCATCATGCTTTAGCTTTTCAATTTCTTTGCCCTTTTTTCTTTTTCTTTTAAGCTCATGCTCCCTCCTCTGATTTAAGCAATGATTTTCTTGTTTTTCCTGACTCAAAGCCATGAAGCTTATGACCTCCCTGGTAAAAGTTGCCCTTCAACTTAGTCTGCACAAAGACAATAATCAGCGCCAGTATGAGGCAGAACGAAACAAGGGGCCAGAGCAGAGAGCACCTCAGCGACTGGAGAGCCTGCTGGAGAAACGCAAAGAGGTGAGAAGTACTCCCTGCCTCTTACCTCCCTCCCTCTCAGCTTCCATCTGCTGTTGACACAGACCACCTTTGTAGGCACCAACTTCTCAGTAAGCACAGGCCCAGGCAGCCTTTCAGATAAGAAATTAGAGTCTGGCAACAGCTTGCTAGATCCATCCTGTCAGAGGTCATTATGTGTTCATCTTGTTTCTGGCATACAGGCTCAAAATTCATGTATAATTTATACTGTGTTTAGATTTTTCTGTTACCTCCACTTTTTTTTTTCTGAGTAGCAGCGGGGTTTGCACATTTATTTATTTTGGGTGGTACTGGGGTTTGAACTCAGGGCCTTGAGTCATGCCTCTACTCCTCAGTATCTACTTTTGTTCAGTTTTCACTTACCTGCATTCATTATCAGCAGTGTTTAAGTGTTATACCTATATGTCATGCAAAGAGTTTAGTTTTGACCTTCATGTTAAATGTGAATTGTGGAAGTCACCACAGGAGCACTGAAATCTAACCACTGACTGAAGGTCAAGTTATCAAGGAATGGAAAGAGCACAGGCGTTTCACTCCTTTCCAACTAAAAATTCTGTTCTACTTAGCTGCTAGTTCCATGGCTTTATATAGCCTCTCAAAGTTTCAGTTTCCTTTTCTTTAAAAGGGATAATTCCACCTTTTTTTTTTTTGACTGGAATTTGAACTTGGGGCCTCACGCTTGCCTAGGGAGGAACTCTACCACTTGAGCCACTCCACCAGCCCTATATTGTGGATTTTTGAGATAAGGTCTTGGGAACTACTTGCCCAGACTGACCTCAAACTGTGGTCCTCCTGATCTCTGCCTCCAACTGGAATTGTAGGCATGAGGGCACCAGGCTAATTCTACCTTTTATGAATTTTAAAGGGTCAAGGAAATTGCCTAGCCAGGCACTTGGTAGGTATTTGTTTTGTTTGCCTTTGTGTTAGTCAGACTTTCTCTCACTGTGACAAATACCTGAAAGAAATAGTTTAGAGGAGGAAAGGTTTAGAGGTTTCAGTTCATGGTCACCTGACTCCATTTTTTTGAGCCTGAGATAAGGCAGAACATCATGGTGGGTAGAGCACTTGCCTAGCAAACATGCAGCCCTGAGTTCAATCTTCAGTACTGCCCCCCACAAAAAAAAAAAAAGAGAGAAGAAAACATCATGGTGAAGAGGGTGTGATGAAACAGCTGCTTAGTTAATGGCAGCCAGGAAGCAGAGAGGGGAAGGGTCCAGGAGCAAGGATATACCTTTCAAAGGCATGTCCCCACTCAATCACTTCCTCCAAGTAGGCTCCAACTCCTAATAGCCCATTTGTCTGTGAACTCAGAACCATCCTGATCATTCACTTCTCAAAAGCCTATCACCTGGCAAGCAAGGCTTTGACACATGAGCTTTCAGGGAATGTTTTTAGATTAAAATTTTAACACCCTTTACACTTAAGACTACTGGAGGACATAGCCCTAGCAAAATCTATTTTTTTGTGTGTGGTATTGAGGTTTAAACTCAGAGCCTACACCTTGAGCTACTCCACCAGCCCTTTTTTGTGATGGATTTTTTTCAAGATAGGGTCTCGTTTCTGGGCTGGCTTCAAACCACGACCTTCCTGATTTCTGCTTCCTGACTAGCTAGGATTGCAGGCATGAGCCACTGGCACCTGGCCCTAGCAAAATCTCCACTGATTAAACTTCAAACAGTTGGATCTTTCATGAGCTGAACACTAATGTTTCCTTCCTGCTCTCCATTAGTATCGGAGACTTCCCCCAACATGAGGTTGACAGGACATACCATACCAAATTGTACCAGTTGGTTGTTTTCCCTACTCTCATAAAAGATCTCTTCTAGCTCACACCTGTAATCCTAGCTATTTGGGAAGATTGAGATTGCAGGCCAGCCTGGGGAAACAAAGTTTGCGAGCTGGGCACCAGTGGCTCATGCCTGTAATCTTAGCTATTCAGGAGGCAGAGATCAAAAGGATCATGATTTGAGGCCAGCCTGACCCTATCTTGAAAAGGCCCAATACAAAAAAGGGACGGGTGGAGAGCACCAGCCTAGCAAGCATGATGACCTGAGTTCAAATGCCAGTACCACCAAAAAGAAAAAAGTTTGCGAGACCCCATCTCATCTCAGTGGAAAAAAGGTGAGCATAGCATCATGCGCCTGTCATCACAGTTACGGTGCAAAGCGTAAAATAGGATCACGCAGTCCAGGCTGGCCTGGGTAAAAACCCTATGTCCAAAATAACCAGAGCAAAAAGGGCTAGAGGCATGGCTCAAGTGATAGAGTGGCTGCCTTGCACCCACAAGGCCCTGAGTGCAAACCCCAGTGTCATAAAAAAAAAAAAGATCCATTATGTATCGTTAGAGAAGGAAACTTTTATTCCCTCATTCTTACTTGCTGTTTTTCACTGTCAGGGTGATATTAAAGGCCTACATATATTAATAGGTTTGTCCAGTAGTCCTTTGTGTACAGTAGTCCTGCATTAATGTTCAGATTTCCTTTTTTTTTCCTCTCCCTGCTGGAGTTTGAATTCAGAGCTTGTTCTTTGAGATGGGCTCTTACTAACTTTTTACCTGAGCTGACCTTGATTCAGGTTCTCTTTCTATGATTTCAGTGTTTGTGATTAGCCAAAGTCCAAAAACATATACAGTACAATAAGATATTTTGGGAGATACAGCATTCACATAACTTGATACAGTGTGTTACAGTTATTTTTTATTGATATCTTACTTTGCCTAATTTATACACTTTATCACAGGAACATGTGTATAGAAAGAAACAAGATAGGCTGAGCATCCCTAAACTAAAAATATGAATTCAAAAATAATCCAAAATCCAAAACTTTTTGCCGGGCACTGGCAGCTCAAAAAAGCTGTTATCCTAGCTTTTCAGGAGGCAGAGATCAGAAGGATTGTGGTTCAGAGCCAGCCTGGGCAAATAGTTTGTGAGACCCTATCCCAAAAACATCACCAAAAAAAAAAAAAAAGGGCCGGTGGAGTGACTCAAGGTATAGGACCTAGGTTCAAACCCTAGTACTGAAAAAAAGGAAAAAAAAAAAGCAAAAGCAAAAAAAACACCTTTTGAGTACTGAATAACAAAAATTTAGAAAATTTTGCATTTTGGAAATTGCAAATTTTGGAGTTTAGGATTGTGTTCACTTAACCAGTAAAATGTATGCAATATGTTCCAAAATCCAGAAAACTCCGAAATCTGAAGCAGTTCTGGTCCAAATCATTTCAGATAAGGGTATTAAGTTTATATGTATAGGTTTTAGTACTGACTAGTTTAAGCATTCACTTTGGTGTCATGGAACATATCCCCTATGGATAAGGGGAGATACACTAGTGTGAATGTTTGTTGTTTGTCTTTTCTGGGTTCTTGCTTCAATTATCATTTCCCTTTTTTTGATCTCATTGTTTTCTTCTCTCCATTTATGAATGTAGTGGGCCCTTAAATCTTCCTTCACTCTGCTTCTTTGTGATCTACTCTATCCTTGTAGGGTAGTCCTTCCTTAGTCCCACTGAATAGATCCTCCTTGTTCCCTTGCTTCTATATCCCCATTTCTTTTTCCTTTTTTTTTTTTGATGGGTTTACTGGAGGTTGAACTCAGGCCCTCGCCCTTGCTACCCTTTTTTTTTTTTTTTTTTTTTTTTTTGGTTATTTTTGAAATAGGGTCTTGCTTTATACCCAGGCCGGCCTGGGCGGTGATACTTGTATTTATGTTTCTACATACCTCAGATGATAGGCGTGCATCACCACACCTGGGTTTTTATTGGTTGAGATGGGGTCTGGCCTTGAACCACAGTTTTCCCTATTTCTGCCTCAGTATCTAGGATTACAGGCATTTATTTGAAATTTTTCTCTCCAAACCAATAATCCTGAGCTTTCCTCAGTCTCCCTTTTCCAGATTTCTATAAAATTTCGTTCTGATCTATCTTTCCTATTTCCTTCCTTCCTTTTCCTCTAAATGTGAAAATTTTCAGACATTGTGACAAGTAGAGACACTGGTGTAACAGGTACCATCTACACATCATCTAGTTGAAAAACTAATATTCCAACATATTTGCTTCATCTCTTTTTTCCTAGTTTGTAGTAAATTACAGACGTTGTTCCTTCAATCCCAAAGGTTTAAATATGTCCTCCAAAAGCTAACATATTTTTGCATAAACCCCAATACCAACTGCACATTCAAAAATTAATTATTCCCTAATATTTTATAATTCTAGTTCATACTTAGGTTTTCCATTTGTCCCCTAAGTGCCCTTTATATCTAGTTAATTCCAACCCAGTAAGGACTATGCATTGCATTTGGTTGTTGTGTTTCTTAGGCCTCTTTAACATTTTTTTTCGGATAGGGTTCACTTAAGTAGCACAGGCTGGCCCCAGACTTGCTAAGTAGCTCAGGCTGGCCTCCTGAGTACTGGGATTACAGGTGAGCACCACAATGCCTGGCTTTCTCTTTTAATCTGATGTGGAACATTTGCCTTCCCCATTTTTCCTAGTGTATTGATGTATTGAAGAGGTGGGATCATTTGTTTCAGAGAAGTTTCCCTTTCTTCTTATAATTCTGCTTCCTTGGTATCTATTACTCATCAATCTAGGATTTCTCAGCAAAGGTACTATTGACATTGGGTACCTGTTCTGGGTTTATATGATGTTTAGCAGCATCGCTGGCCCCTCCCTGCTGAATGCCAATAGTACCCGGCTATCTACCCTAAGCATCCTCTGAAGGAAAAATTGCCTGGTTGAGAATCACTGATCTAATCTCTTGCTTCTCTTTTTTCGTAGTTCCACCACTGCTATCAAATTGCATTTATTAAAAATTAATTTTCTCAGTTATTTAAATTACTCAAAAACATAAGTATCAGGGCTTCTGAATAGAATAACCACACAAAAGGACATTAGTTGACAACACTGCTTCTTCTAGAATTAGAAGACTTTATAGTGAACTTGGGGGGAATACCAAGGGTTCACTCTATGTCCTCTAGTAAATAGAAAGTAGGTAAAATACTTTCCTGTATTTTTTCCTTCTGCCGTTGAAGTATAAGAAAGACTGATCCGTTCCTCCCTGTTTTCTAGCTACAAGAGCATCAAGAAGAAATAGAGGGGATGATGAATGCCATCTTTAGGGGTGTCTTTGTTCATCGATACAGGTGAGTTAATGGACTCCTCTCACTGAAGCTGCTGCTCCTTGTTCCTGGCATCTGTAGAAGTGACCTTTCTAACCCTAAATTACTTGGTTTGTCTCAGAACTCATGAAGCTGGAATAAAAACTCTAAAAAAACAAATGTTTAAATGAGTACCTCTTACCCCCGTGCTTACAAAAAATCTTTTGTAATCTCTTCTGGGAGAAAAAAATAAAGGGTAAAGTGTTTTGTAGTATTCTGCTTTAACTTTGACCAATACTGGCCCTGCCTCTTACCCTTGTTTTTTCTGGAGTTGGAGACTAGAGAGGGTAAGGGCAAAGATGGCTTTTCTGAGGCAGGTCTGTGGCTTGGCAAGCCTTTGCCTAGCCCAACCTGTGGTTTCACTGTGCTCAGGGGTGTTTGTGTCTAAAGAACTGGTAGAATTAAGATAAAGAAGGTATAGTAGTTCTCACTTTTGTCTAGATTTGACATCTGCCTTTCTCAAACCCTTCACCTGGTTTTGTCTTTTCTGAATATAGAATTAAAAACACACACAGTTTAGCCAATAATTTAAAACACCTTCAAAAGGAATGTGATAAGATTGTGCGGGACTGGTTTAACATTTCACAGGCTGGTTACAGAAAGAACCACTTTCATGTGCTTTGTGTATCACATATGTTTCTACATTTTGCGTTAATTAACATTGGAAGGAGGGAATGAAAGGCATGGGTCCTGGTGTTTCATGAGGAAGACAAATTCTATGAGAAAGAACTGTCTGGTATGATGGAAAGAGAGTTTGGACAGAACATGATGAGAGTTGACTTATCTCTCTGTCTAGGGACATCCTTCCTGAGATCCGTGCTATCTGCATTGAGGAGATTGGGTGTTGGATGCAAAGCTACAGCACCTCTTTCCTCACTGACAGCTATTTAAAGTACATTGGCTGGACCCTACACGATAAGGTAGGCTCAAGTCAGTCTCCTCCCTGTTCCCTTCATCCTCTTACCTGCCCCAGGACACTTCAGGTTCTCCTGCTCCTGCCACTTATACATTTCATCTAGTGAGCAATGATCAATCCATCAAGGCACTGAATCTTGCTATCCCCACTTCTGAGGGAGTTAGGGTAAGGTAGAAGAGAGAAAAGTATATCCAGGAGACAAAATGCCTTCAAACATGATGTGCCATGGAGGAAAAGCAAGAAAATTGGTGCATTGGTAACACAAAGGATCCTTTTCATCATGATTATTTTATTCTCCTGTGACCCCTTTGTGTTTTGAGCAATACAGTTGTTCATTGTCTTCTTATATCTCTGTATCTTTAGTGTCAGGGGCACCCAGGCCCAGATTGAGGAATCTAAAGGGTGGATGTAGGATTAATAGGGATGTGGTCAGCAATGTTTCCCTTCTCCTGTTTGTCCCACTTCAACAGCACCGGGAAGTCCGTCTGAAGTGCCTGAAGGCTCTGGAAGGGCTGTACAGCAACCGGGAGCTGACTGCACGCCTGGAGCTCTTCACCAGCCGCTTTAAGGTAAAGTGGTAACAGAGTTCCTAAGCTTGACTCTTGCTGTGGTGTTCCATTTCCCCTCCTAAGATTTCCCACCTTGTTGCTTTGATGTATTGTTACCTATTCCAGTATCTACTCCTTCACCCTCTCTTTAGGAAACTTTCAGATTCTAAGAGAACATGTTGTTTTAGAATGGGTACAGTGAGGTAAGGGGTGATGTTCTCCTTCCAACAGGACCGGATGGTTTCCATGGTCATGGACAGAGAGTATGATGTGGCAGTAGAGGCTGTCAGGCTGCTGACTGTTATCCTGAAGTGAGTTCTGGGAAGTGGGGAGGCAGCATCTCAGACTTAACCATTCTGGCATCGGGCAGCCCCTCCAGAGTCCTGTCCCCTCCTGTCATGGGTTGACTTTTCCTTATGTGCAGGTTGGAAGACAGAGGTCATTCCTGAGTTGCGGGATCAAGGGGGAACTTTCCTGTCTTCTCTAACTCTCCATACTCCTCTGTCTTCCACACTTCACTTAAAAGTTCTCTGTGAGTCATAGCCTTGTTGTTTTTGCCTCGTTTTGTTCCTAGCCCCAGTTTTGTGAGAGGACAGTGTCTGCATCCACATGTTCTTCTTTTCTCTTGGTAGGAACATGGATGGAGTGTTGACTGATGCAGACTGTGAGAGTGTCTACCCTGTCGTGTATGCCTCTAATCGTGCCCTGGCCTCTGCTGCGGGAGAGTTTCTGTACTGGAAGTGAGTGGAACTCCTCATGCGTTTCTTTTGCACCATCATTTTTGTCTCCCTTACCCGCTGCTGTTCTGCCTGAGGACGCCCCATACATACCTACCCTAAGTCTCTGTTGGTGTCACCTTTCCTGTCAACCCCATGGGCTTTCCTTGTTCCTTTGTCCACTCCCTGGGCTGTTCCTTCCCTCTGTGGTGATTATTGCTTTCTCACTTCCTCCTGTGCTGTGCCGTGTGTCCATCCCACAGGCTTTTCTACCCCGAGTATGAGGCAAGAGCAGTGGGTGGAAGAGAGCGACGCCGGAGTCCACACATACAAAGAACTTTCTTCCACCTTCTGCTGGCCTTCTTTGTGGAGAGTGAGGTAATGTGTGACGGGAATGTGTGGCTGTTGTGCCTGAGACCTAGGAGTAGAGGCCCTGGAGCAGTTTCATGTGGCATCAGTAGGTAACATAATGCATCTTCTCTCACAGCTCCATGATCACGCTGCTTACTTAGTGGATAGCCTGTGGGACTGTGCAGCATCTCAGCTGAAGGACTGGGAGAGTCTGACAAGCCTACTACTGGAGAAGGATCAGAGTACGTGCTACATGGTAGTCAGGGATTGGCACCCCACACATCTTTGTGTGAACTGGGAAGAGATTTGTGCATGACCTTTAAATGATAACAGAGGTGGTATGTGGGGGTTGTGCTTAGAAATGGAGGGCAGTCAGTCTGTGATTCTGCTTTTGATCTTCCTGCCAACCTAGACCTGGGCGATGTGCAGGAGAGCACACTGATAGAAATCCTTGTGTCCAGTGCCCGGCAAGCTGCAGAGGGTCACCCACCCGTGGGTCGGATCACTGGGAAGAAGGTATGGCACAAGGGGTGCATTAGGTAGGTTTTATCATTATCAAAGCTAAGCAGATATTGGGCATCATTACTCCCTAGGTCCTGGGTTAAGGCATTCCTTCTGCCCCTTAAAAAATCCCAACTACAGAAAAAAAAATGTGAAGGGAGCTACTGCATTCTCTTTTCCTCCATGGGCAGAAAAGGTCACAGGGAGGAGGGATGCACAGATACACCCTCTGGACCAGTGTTTTTTCACCCTTCCCCATCCCACAGTGTCTCTAATTCCAGGGTTTAACTGCTAAGGAACGCAAGCTCCAAGCTGATGACAAGATGAAGCTGGCAGAACACCTCATCCCTTTGCTGCCTCAGCTCCTGGCCAAGGTAGAGCTGCCCTGTTCTGCCCAGGCACAAGCTAGTGAGGGCATAGCCCTCATGGAGGGATGAGGAAGATTAGCAGTCTGTTAGTTAACAGACAGGGCTGTTCCCACAACCACCACAGTTCTCGGCGGATGCAGAGAAGGTTACTCCCCTGCTGCAGCTACTCAACTACTTTGACCTCAGTGTCTACTGCACTCGACGCTTGGAGAAGGTGAGGATGCAGCAAGATCTGTTTTTGCTATACTTTGCTGCTGCTCCCCTGGTAGGGCCACAGGTTCTGCCAGCATCTGCTACTTTTAAAGGGCCTGGGTTCCAGAAGAATTGGTAAGCCCCTCCTTTTTTAGACATTTTATCCATGAAGTTCTTCTTCTAGCCCTGTTTGTCCCCTCCCTATCTCTTACCACTCCACATTGTCTTCTCTTACCTTTTTCCCTTTCAGCATCTAGAGCTGCTCCTGCAACAACTTCAGGAAGTGGTGGTGAAGCACGTGGAGCCAGCAGTGCTTGAGGCTGGAGCACATGCCCTCTATCTGCTCTGTAAGCCTGAGTTCACGTTCTTCAGCCGGGTGGACTTTGCCCGCAGCCAACTAGTGGATCTGCTGGCTGACCGCTTCCAGCAGGAGTTAGATGAGCTACTGCAGGTAGGAGCTGGGGCAAAACGGCAGGACCCCCCAACTAGGGTGGAATAGGGCCTGAAGATAAGGAATGTGGATCGCTGAGCTCTTTGGAAAATCTACTTGTGGACCTTCTTTCTCCCTCAGTCATCCTTCCTAGATGAGGATGAGGTGTACAGTCTGGCAGCCACGCTGAAGCGCCTCTCTGCTTTTTACAAGTGAGCAGTGCCCCTCTTGCTCTCTATTTCTCCTTGTGTCTGGGGACTTAGTTCCCTTTGTTCTGTTCCAGCCTAATACCTCCCTTTTTCCCACAAAGTGCTCATGACCTGACTCGCTGGGAACTTTACGAGCCATGCTACAGACTCCTCCGGAAGGCTGTAGACACAGGAGAAGTTCCTCGCCAGGCAGGTAGATTTGTGATGTGGAGGGAGGGAAGGCGTTCTTCAGGGCCTGTGTTCTGGGTGACAGGCCCAGTCTCAGGGTGTGGAGTGGACACACACAGAAAGATCAGGTGGGCTCCCTCCTTCCATTCCTCTTTGGGAAAGTGGACAGTGCTTCAGTGCCTGAAGATAGCTGTCCTCTCGGGTTCCTAGGAGTCAAGGAGAATATTGAGGGGATACTGTAAATAAATTAGGGAGATGTGACATTTCTGTCTGGGTAGAGGCCTCTGAAGATTGTCCAGAATATCAGTTCTCCAAAGTATTAATTCTTTTCCACTGAAAAGAAATTCATTTTTCCAGTCTCATTTTCTGTCTGTCGTGTGTGTGTGTGTGTGTGTGTGTGTGTGTGTGTGTGTGTGTGTGTGTGTGTGTGTGTGTGTGTCTTCCCCAGGCCCCTCACTCACTCACTGTCCTTGCTCTCTTGTTACCTGCATTTCACTCTCCTGCCCCAAACCTCATTTTGGTGATATTGTATGGTTACAGGTTATCCTTCCAGCCTTGACACTTGTCTATTTTTCCATTCTCTGGACACTAACTCACATTTCTGAATCAGCTGTTTCCCAGGTAAGAAGGGGTCTGAGGAGGGGAGTGGGCATGTGGAGCCTAAGTCTTCATTCTTCCTTCAAGCAACTGTCTCCACAGAAGCAGTTGTCGAGTCTGAAGGGCAGAATGGTGGCCTTCTGTGAACTCTGTCAGAGCTGCCTCTCTGATGTGGATCAGGAGATCCAGGAGCAGGTGTGTATTCACTCTATACAGAGTCGAGTGTTCCTGCTACCTGAGGAGACTCTGTACCACAGAGACATTAGCTGTATGAGTCTAATCTTGGTAAATATTTTGGTTTTTAATTTCCTCTCCCCATCACTCCCAACAGGCTTTCATCTTACTAAGTGACCTGCTTCTCATCTTTAGTCCTCAGATGATTGTAGGGGGACGGGATTTCCTTAAGCCCCTCGTCTTTTTTCCTGAAGCTACTCTCCAATCTGAGCTAGCCAGCTTCCTCATGGACCATGTCTTCCTCCAGCCTGGAGACCCAGAGAGTGGTACTCTATTCCTGGGGTGCAGGAAGGGTTTGGGATTGGGCCTGGCTCAGGAATTGATTGCAGGAGGCCTAAGCTTGTGATTGGTTCTGCCTTTGACAAGCAGATCATGCACAGATAGAGCAGCTGCACCAGCGTCGCCGCCTCCTGGCTGGGTTCTGCAAACTGCTGCTCTATGGGGTGCTAGAGCTGGATGCAGCCTCAGATGTTTTCAAGCACTACAACAAGGTATAGTGAGGCCCTACAAACACAAGAGGGGGAACCGAGTTGAGCACAGCCTCAAACACTATAGCATCTTAGAAAGGCAAGAGAGGGGAGCATCTGAGGGGATCAGGCTAAAAGTAGGAGGGAACCAAAGGAGGAGTTTAGAATAAAAGGACAAAGAAGAGAGACTTAGTAGTAGATAATTATAAGAGAAAAGCTGTTAAGACACTCATTGAAGGAGAAGTACTGTATTCTTCCTCTCCTAAAACCTATTTTTTGTCTGAATCCAGTCCATGGAATGGGGTAATGTCAGAAAGTAAAAAGAATGGAAGAGGGACCAGTCCTCACAAGATACTTAGATGCATATCTCCAGCTCCCCCATGTGCCACTGTATTGATCTTTATTTATTGGGTGTGTCATGTGTGCCAGGCCTGCCAGGTGCTGAGGACACTGGAGGGAGCAACAGAGAGAAGCTCTTGTTGTGTGGAAGGAACAGATAGGTTTCAGTGCTTCATCAGGGTGGATGCTGGCAGGCTTGCTTATTCCAAGAATTGGACTCAGAGTTTCTTCTCTTGTGTTTTTACCTAAACTCTGATTATTGTTTTTTTTTTTTTGGAGGGGGAGCAGTACTAGGGTTTGAACTTAGGGCATCATGCTTGCTAGGCAGGAACTCTACCACTTGAGCCATACCCAAGCCCTTTTTGGTTATTGTTCAGGCAGGGTCTCACATATTTGCCCAGGAATGGCTTCAGACCACAGTCCTACGTAGCTGCAATGACAGGCGTGTGCCACCACCCCCAGCTTGTTTTGTTGAATGGGGGAAGAGGGTCTTGCTAACTTTTTTTCTTTTTTTTTTTTTCCTTGTCTTGCTAACTCTTTGCCCAGGCTTCATGAGTAGCTGGGAGTACAGGTGTGAGTCACTGTGCCTGGCTTTGTACCTATTGGTTAGAGATTAGGTCTAGTCTGATTTTTATGCTGAGATTCATGTTTCCCTATCTAAAGCTTTTTGGGAAGAAAGGCTGATTAGGGATGTGAAGAACAACCCAAAGAGGAAGTCTTTTCCTATGGTTAACATTATCTTCTCTGTTTCTTCTCTTTCAGTTCTACAACGACTATGGGGACATTATCAAGGAAACATTAACAAGAGCAATCATCAGGGTGGATGCTGGCAGGCTTGCTTATTCCAAGAATTGGACTCAGAGTTTCTTCTCTTGTGTTTTTACCTAAACTCTGATTATTGTTTTTTTTTTTTTGGAGGGGGAGCAGTACTAGGGTTTGAACTTAGGGCATCATGCTTGCTAGGCAGGAACTCTACCACTTGAGCCATACCCAAGCCCTTTTTGGTTATTGTTCAGGCAGGGTCTCACATATTTGCCCAGGAATGGCTTCAGACCACAGTCCTACGTAGCTGCAATGACAGGCGTGTGCCACCACCCCCAGCTTGTTTTGTTGAATGGGGGAAGAGGGTCTTGCTAACTTTTTTTCTTTTTTTTTTTTCCTTGTCTTGCTAACTCTTTGCCCAGGCTTCATGAGTAGCTGGGAGTACAGGTGTGAGTCACTGTGCCTGGCTTTGTACCTATTGGTTAGAGATTAGGTCTAGTCTGATTTTTATGCTGAGATTCATGTTTCCCTATCTAAAGCTTTTTGGGAAGAAGGCATGATTAGGGATGTGAAGAACAACCCAAAGAGGAAGTCTTTTCCTATGGTTAAACATTATCTTCTCTGTTTCTTCTCTTTCAGTTCTACAACGACTATGGGGACATTATCAAGGAAACATTAACAAGAGCAAGGCAGATTGACCGAAGTCATTGTTCCCGAATCCTGCTGCTGAGCCTCAAGCAGGTGCTCCCTGCAGAGGGCCTCAAGTCTGTGGCTCTGTCTACTCTCAGCCTGTTGGACTGTGAGATCTTTAAGAACAGGAACCTTATTTTGAGTCTCAGGTCACATGACAGGCTCCTTTATACCTTGCAGGCCCTTAGAAAATGTTTCTAACTGGTCAGTTTCCATCCCAACCCCATAGAAATCAACTTTCCTTTAGGACCTGGGAGCACCAACAATGAAGCAGTAGGCAATTCCTAATTATATTTTAGTCTGTTCTTTCGTAGCTCCTTCAGTTGCCACAGACATTTGTAATTGCTGTTACAGAGCGGGGCTGAAGGTTCTTTACTCCAGGGGATCAGGGGTTGGGGCACTGTTGGGAGGAAAAAAGGGAGGAAATTAGTAAATGGTGTCCCAAGTCCTGTGAAATTGTTGAGCAGAGAGGGGAGTGTTGTGCTTCTCTAGAGCCATCTTGTCCCTCTCATTTCAAACATGCCATGTCTCCCGGACACAGCTGTACACAGAGCTAATGCAGGAGCAGGGTCCTCAGGGCCTGAGTGAGCTGCCAGCCTTCATCGAGATGAGAGACCTGGCCCGTAGGTTTGCCCTGAGCTTTGGACCCCAGCAGCTACAGAACCGAGACCTTGTAGTCATGCTGCACAAGTGAGGAAGTGCTGGTTGGAGGCTGGGTACAGGGAGGGCTGGGAGTGAAGTTCCAGGGTGGGGGTAAGTATGTGAAGAAGCAGTAGTCAAATTGGTAGTGGATGTGCTCTGGGTGACAAGTAGGGATGGGGGAGGGTACACTTACACAGGGAATCTCAGACTTTCTGAAATATTTCTGCCCAATCAAGGGAAGGCATCAAGTTCTCCTTGTCTGAGCTTCCTCCAGCTGGCTCCTCTGAGGAACCCCCCAATCTGGCATTCCTTGAGCTCCTTTCAGAGTTCTCTCCCCGCCTCTTCCATCAAGATAAGCAGCTGCTGTAAGTTAGTAGGTGGGCAAGCAGAGATGTGGGTTATGGAAGGACCTGGTGGGGGGACTGATGGCCACTTCAGCCTCTCTGCTCCTTCCTTAGACTGTCCTACCTGGAAAAGTGTCTGCAACGGGTCTCTCAGGCACCTAGCCCTCCCTGGGGTCCAGTGACCACCTACTGCCACTCCCTTCGCCCTATGGAGAACACAGTAGAGGCCAACCCTCAGGGCCACCCCCGCTCCAAGAAGAGACGCATTGAAGGTAGGGGGCTGGGGAGGAGATAGGACACTTGGTGCTGCCCTTCTGGTTGCCTCTGCTTAGTTGAGCAGGAAGATGGTCTTTGACCTCGTTCAGACTTTTAATTTGTCACATATTTCATTGAGTATCATCTATCATTAAAGGTATTCATTTTCTTCACGGTTTAGCTAACTTAAATTAAAACTTAACTAAAAATAGCAGACCTCTATGAAAAATGAAAAACTAACACTAGAAGCCCAGACTGAACTAAGCATCCTGGACATTCAGGGCTCCCTCCTTGATGGCACACATTCCATTGTTTTCTGTATTTTAGGGATTTTTGCACAGTCACCAGATCACCAGTTGTCTTATATATGTAATTTAGCTAAGGTTTTCTCTTTAATCTGCATTTTTGTACACACTTATTAAGTGGTAGTATCCTAGAAATTAGTTTGATATTTTAGTATGTGTTTTCTGGTGTATATTTTGTTTTATTTATTTTGGAAGGCCATGGTAGTGGGGTTTGAACTCGGGGCCTACATCTTGAGCCACTCTACCAGTCCTTTTTTTGATGGGTTTTTCCGAGATAGGGACTTGGACAAACTGTTTCCCCAGGCTGGCTTCAAATCACAATCTTCCTGATATTTGCCTCCTGAGTAACTAGGATTGCAGGCAGGCATGAGCCACTGGCACCCAGCTTAGTGTACATTTTAAAGTGTGACTTTTTAAATGTTACAGCTTTATTGAGTTATAATTCAAATACCATAGTATTCAGCCATTTAAAGTATGCATTTCAGTGGCTTTTAATATATTCACCAAATTATAGAGCCATCACTACTATCTAATTTTAGAACATTTCATCACTCTAAAAAACTGTGTACCTGTTAGCGGTTACTTTAATTCTCTTTGTCCTCCCAGTCCTGGGCAGTATCTCTAACCTGCTTCCTGTCTCTGATTTTGCCTATTCCAGACACTTTATCTAAATAGAACCATTAAATATGTAGCCTTATATGTCTGCTTTCTTTCACTTAACATGTTTTCAGGATTCATCTGTGTTTGAGAATGTATTAGTTCCTCACTTTTACGGCAGAATAATATTCTATTTTATGGCTAGTAACTTACTTTGTCCATTCATTGGACATGAGTTGTTGCCCTTTTTGTTTTTATTGTTAGGCATTTTGCTGCTAAACATTCACGTACAAATGTTTGGAGATATAGTGACTAATAATGTTAAACTTTTTTTCACGTGTCTGTTAACAGTTGATCTTTTTGGAGAAATGTCTATTCAGATACTTTATTCATTTTTAAATAGAGGTGTTTGTCTTTTTGTTGAGCTGTAAGAGTTTTTTATATATTCTGGATAAAAGATCTATCAGGTATATGGTATGCAGACATTTTCTTCAATTCTGTGGGTTCTTTCCATGTTGTTGATGGCAGCCATTAAAACACAAAAGTTACTAATTTTTAAAACTAATAAATAATTGAAAGTTGATGAAATACAACTTTTCTATTTTTTCTTTTGTTGCTTGTGTTTTTGGTGTCATAGTTCAAGGAACTAATCCAAGATCACAAAGATTCACTCCTATTTTTTTTTAAAGTTTTATAGTTTTAGCTCTTAGATTTAGGTCTACAGTGAGTTAATTTTTGTATATGTGTGAGGTAGTGTGTGATTTCTTTCTTCCTTCTTTCTGTCTCTCCCTCCCAGGGCCTTGCACACGCTAGGCCCTTAAGTGTTCTATCACCGAACCCTAGCGTGATTTCTTTTTTGGCAATACTAGGCTTTGAACTCAGGGTCTCATGCTTACTAAGCAGGCACTGTACTACTTAAGCCACTCTACTAGCCCTTTTTTGAGTTAGATGTTTTCAAGATAGGGTCTCATTTGCCTAGGCTGGCTTCAAACTGTGATCCTTCTGATCTCCCTCTGGAGTAGCTAGGATTATAGGTGTGAGCCACCAGCACCCAGCTGATTTCTTTTTTGTCTTCTGTATATCACCAGGAAATTGTACTTTAATCAGGTAACAAATGAATATTTGTTAATAACCAACTATACATATGATGCTGTGTTTCAGAGGTAGGTCAGGAAGGATTATTGTCTAAATAGAAAGAGGGAAAATACATTTAAAGAAAATCTGAATTATGACTATTTGTCAATAAATAATGGCCTTGAAGGTTGGTACAAAAAAATGCTATAGAATTCAGAGGCGGGAGATAACACTTTAAGTTTAATTGATCTATGAAGGCTTTCCCAAGACTAGAATTTAAACTGGAGTTTTGAAAAAGAGTAAGTTTTATACAAGGTGAACAGATAAAGAACAAGCATCCAGGGGTCACAGAATAGCATGTGCACAATATGGAAAGGTGTATGTTAGCCTGCCATAGATGAGGATTAATTTGCCTAAAGCAGAGAGTTTATAAAGTTGAGATAAAAGTGAGAAGATTGATTCTGTTGTTCATTGAGCAGCCAACTGAGCACCAGGAACTGGGAATGCATCAGTAAACAAAAATACACCTTCCTTTAGTGTATGCCAGACAGTGATAAATGCTATGGCAAAAAAGCAGGGAGGCAGATAGGGCGTTCTTGGAATGGTTGCAATATTATAAAGGGTAATAGGGAACTGAGAAGGCCTCACAGAAAGTGAATGTTGGGCAGAAAATCTAAGGGAGGTGTTTAAAAGTGAACTTAGGCACATTGTAATTTTAATGAGCTTATTTGACAAATCAACAATTTGTGAATTGAGTAGTACCAGTCTGCGGGCTCTGAAGGAGAAACATTTGTAAGGTATTATTCAAAGTTAGACAGATACTTGATTGGTTAAAGTGGATACTCTGGTTAGAGGTTAGTTGGTGGTTTCTGACTGGTTGAACTTAAATTTCAGTCTCCTAAGTAATACATATTAAAATTGGATTCTGGCTTGCTTATGTAGGGACCCAAGGCATTGGAACTGTCTCAGTCTAATGGCCTCCCAATCAGTTTCTTAAGAGCGTTCTGAAGGAGGGTATATTTAGCAGGGAGCAACTAATCCAAAGGCCATGAGGAGCGATACTCCTGATGTGTTCAGGGAACATCAGAGAAGATTGTTGTGGCTGGAATGTAGCAAATGGAAGATCTGAGACCAAATAGGTCACAGGAATCCAGAAGATATAAGGGCAACTAAAGACTCTGTCTTCTGTTCTGAGTGTAGTGGGAAAACATCAGGATACTTTGGAGAGGACTCACAGGCTCTGCCTGAGTCTGATAAGGATCTGGCTGCTATTGGAGAACTGAAGGTAGAGGGGCCAGGGTAGAAGCAAGGTGGCTGGAAGAGGATCCCACCAGGTGATAAGCATGCCCAGAGCAAGTGTGGAGATGAGGAGGAGGGGCTGATTCTGGATGCATTTCTGAAGAATCTCTAATAGGAATCTGAAGAATCTCTAATAGGAATCCTGGACAAATTAGATGTTGGGTGTAAGATAAAAGAGAGTTGCTAAGGACTACTTCAAGGATTTGGAAGGATGGGTTGAGGTCATATGAATTGGGGAGGGTGTGAGTGGAACAGGCTGTAGAGGGTGATCAGGGCTTTGTTGTTAGCCATGCACACCCAGGTACAGATGTTGGACAGACATCTGGGAATCAGAAACTGGAGTTTGGGGAAGAGCTAGAGGCTGGAGTCAGTTTGGAACTTGGCAGAATGTAGGTGGTATTTACTGAAAGGCAGGGGAAAATGGAGAAGAGGCCTCTTCACCATTACCAGATTGGTGAGCTAAGAATGATCCACTGGAGGCCCAGAGTTTTCTCTCTGAGGACAAGTTCACGGGTGCTATTTCCCTGTTTTTTATAGCCTTTCACATGAACCATTGGCAACTAACTTTTGGATTGTTGGTCTCAGTGTACAAGCATGGCCTTGGAGGAAGAGGGTGATGGGTGTATGAATATTTACCACTGACAAATACTAATAGCCATTTGGCCAATATTTTAATAGCATCACTTGGGTTTTCTCAGGGAATGAGCTCCTCAGAGAAGAACCTTTGACATCTTCCTTTGTCTTTTCCAGTCCATAGGGAAGAGCCCTTTCTTTCAACTTTCCTATCAGACACCAACATTGCCATCGTCTCCTTTTTTTTCAGACTTTCACAATATTCTGCCTCCCATTTTCCCGTTCCTTCCTGGTTCTCATGCATCTACTGTATGTAATTCAGATGCCATTTTAAGCTCTTTTCTAACCACAGAAATCTGGAATGAATAGGATCTCTGATGTCTCCATTGTCCCAGACCTCTCAATCTTAGGGATTCTACAATCTCTCACATTTATTTTCAAATGTTGCTATCTGTGAAATGGATATTTGTCTGTTTTTTCATCTTGTTTTATAAGCTGTTCAGTAGCTTAGGAAAATCTAGGACAATGCCTCCATACAATCCCACAGGTCTTACATTGTAGCACACAGTGCTGTGCATTCAGTACATAGGACTGTGCTCATTTTTGAGGTGAAACAGAATGAAGCCATGTAAGTTTTCCATTCTCTTTTGCTTAACTTACCCTCACCAAACCTGGGCAGGTCTTAATAAAGCCACCAGGGTAGGTCCCTGATCTGTTTTTTATGTGCATCTACTTCCTTGCAGACTCTTACAGGCACCAGGGAGAGGATGTCTCCTCATCTCAGGAAGAGAGCCTACAGCTGAACAGTGTCCCACCCACACCCACACTCACCTCCACAGTGCTGAAGAACAGGCAACCACTGGGGGCAGTGGGTGACAAGGAAGAAGAAGAAGATAGCTCAGAATCAGAGCTCATGCACAGGTGAGGCTGAGGGGAGACAGCATCTGGTCCCCAGTTTAGTGTTCCTGTTTGTTCTTGTTTGCTCTGTGGCACACCCTCGTTCTTTGATGTTCCTAGGATGCTTTTCCTTTTTATAATTTCAAGATGTCTCTCTAGCTGGGTGTGGTGGTGCACGTTTATAATCCCAGCTACTTGGGAGGCCGAGATCGGGAGGATCACTGTTCCAGGCCAACCTGGGCAAAAAGTTAGAGAGTCCATCTCAACCAATGAAGTTGAGCGTGATAGCTAGTGCCTCCACTCCTGTGGGAGGTATAAATAGGAGGATTGTGGTCCAGAGTTGGCCTAGGCAAAAACACAAGAACCTATTAAAAAAAAAAAGCTAAACTAAAAGCAAAAACGGCTGGGGGCATGGCTCAAATGGTAGACCACTTGCCTAGCAAGCACAAGGCTCTGAGTTCAAACCCCAGTACTGCAAAAAAAAAGTCCTCTCATTCTGAGCTTTTCTCCCCTTCAGCACTGGCACCCTGCATCATCTTTTAACCCTATACTTTTATCCTGTCACTAATCCTTTTCCATTCTCAACAGCCAGCCCCTCTCAGGCACCCAGCGCTCAAAGTTCTTGGATGCACAACATTTTGGGACTCTGCAAGACCCGTCAGGCCCTAGTCTGGGCAACCGGCTGACCCGGTGAGCTTCCCCATCCTCTTCTGGCTTCACTGCACGCTTTATACCCATTCTGTGGGGGAGTTTCACCTTAGCTAGTGCTTCTCTGCAGGTGCTTTTTGAGCTTGTTTTAATTCTAGAACACTTCTTCCAACACAATATGGATCCCTAGTGTGTAAAGAGCAACTCCCACTGAAGCCTAGAGCCCAATGTTCTGCTCCACTTGCTGCCCACTCTCTTCTTGGGTGCCTCTGAAAAACACTTGGGGGGACCTGAAAGGACAGTTTGAAAACTCCCACTTTTTGCCACTACCGGCAGACTCAGCCTTATGGAAGAGGATGAGGAGGAAGAGTTAGGAATTCTGGATGAATCAAGTGAAGAATGGCAAGGAGCAGACAAGGTACATGGACCTCTCTCTCTAGACATGGATGACAGGTAGGAAATGTGCAGGGATTCCCCTCTCAGTCCTCATTATTATTTTGGCTCTGAATGCTGCTTAGGACTGTTAGACAGAATCACAGAGGACAGGAGGAGAAGTTGTGAGTTGCTGTGGACTTGGATTTGACTTTATTTTTATTAAAGAATTAAAACAAAGTTAAAATATGAAAAAGGCTGGGAATAGCACTCCCGCTCCCAATCCCCAAATAAATACTGCTGTCTGTGAGCCTCTTAAGAATTCCAATTGTTCCAAGCCATCGTAGAGCCAGGAATGAAAGACTATCAGTCCACTCTTGCAGCCCATTCAGTGTGGCTCTCCCTACTTTCCCCCACAGCCTCCTTCCCTCTCTTCTGACAGGGCTGCCCACTTCTGTCCCTCTACTTGCTCCCTTTTCTGCTTTTACTGTCCTCCTCAGGAGGAGGCTCTGTTGTAGTAAGTGAAGCACAGAGTTTAGAGCGAGGTGGCCCAAATGGGAGTCTCAGTTCCATGTCAAGTTACCTGTTGCCCCTTCTCAGCCTGTTTCTTTGTATTTACAATGGAGGTTTTACACAAAATCCAAAGTACAAGTACCTTATGAACTGCTAAGGGCTAGCCTTTAGTCAGTTTGGGCTGCCATAACAGAGTACCATAGCCTGGTGGCTTATAAACAACAGACATTCATTTTATAGCACATCAGGGTAAGCACAGTCCAATAACATTGAGGGCCCACTGCCACTTTGAGATTGTTTCATGTTCTCACATGGAGGAAAGATCAAGCTAGCTCTCTGGCCTCTAAGAAGGGCACTAATCCCAGTCACAAGGGCCCCACGTTCTGACCCAATCACCTCCCAAAGGCCCAACCTTCTAATATTAACTACTGTAGGGATTGGGATTTCAAAATACAGATTTGTGGGGGCCACAGATAGTCTGCACCAGTTTACCTTTTTTTTTTTTTTCCAGTACTGGGGTTTGAACTCAGCCTCACACTTGCTAAGCAGTAGTTCTACCACTTGAGCCACTCCACTGGTCCTTTTTTTGTGTTGGGTATTTTCAAGATAGTCTGGTGAACTATTTGCCCAAGACAGGCTTTGAACTGTGATCCTCCTGATCTCTGCCTCCTGAGAAGCTAGGATTATAGGTGTGAGCCATTGATGCCTGGCAAAGTTTCTTTCTTTTTTTCTTTTTTAGCAGCACTGGGGTTTGAACTCAGTCAGGGCCTTATGTTTGCTAGACAGGTGCTCTTACCATTTGAGCCGCTCCACCATTCCCAATTTATGTTCTGCTATTCTTTTGCTCTCTGTTTTGCTCCATAGAGAAAAAATGCAATAGAATAGATCCAGGGGAATGTAGGCTTTGTGCACAGAGGAAAATCAAAACAATGACACCTTCATACTAGAGACCAGCCAGCAAGCCAGCAAGGCCTCTATTCAGATCATCTGTCCTGAAGTGCTAGGAAAATCCCATTCTTTAGCTCCAATGTTGAGTGTATTTTAAGGGGCTCAGTCAGCAGGCCAAGAGGCTGCACTTCTGTGGTGACTGGCAGCTCCTTGTACCTGATTCTATAGGACTGCAGTAGGGACCATGTTTCTGCTGGCATTAGACAGGAGTGAGGAAAAACCTTTCTAACTTTCGGCCCATTTCTTCTAGCAAATTGGTAGCCCCACTTCCCCCAGTGAACATGGGCCGGACCTCTTAGATACTACAGAGCTGAACATCGAGGTGAGTGTGCCCAGAGCTGGGGTTATGTGTTCCTTCAAATGCTGGTAGACAAACTGCATAGCTGTCAAATAGAAAGGCCAAAGCTCTTGGGTGGCCTTCTGACTGTCTCTGGAGCTTTGGGAAGGGAAGTTAGGATCATCATCTGAGATTGTTCAGGCTTCAGTTTGCTCTCTGGACTGTTGCTGTGACTCTGTGTCTTTCATCTTTTTCATTACAGGATTTCTGACAGGACTCTGAGCCCCTCCTCTTCTCCATTCTCCACCTCAGGGTCATGAGCACTTGGAAAAGGCAAACAGGAAGAACTAGCAAAATGAAGCATTCCTTCAGGCTTGGGTCAGCCTCTAAGGGGAAGAAGATGTGGCCTTGCCTTTCTAATGTCCCTTTCTCTGATAGTGGTAGGTAGAGAATTTGTGAGCCCCTGTCCTCTCTAATGTACCATGGCTCTGCCCCTCTGATTGTTTTCTACTGTGCTTGGTATGGGGTAGAAGTTTTATCCCAAAACTGGAGATGGTAACTGCCTCCCTATGTATAAAGAATCTATTATTTGGGTCTTCTTCCTCAGACTCCTCTAAGCCTTAATGATGAGCTCAATAAACATGTTTCAATCAGTTGGTTCCCAGGTCTGTCTTGAGATTGTGATGCTGATGGAGTTCTTTGGCTGCTGGCACTATGGCCCTGAATACACATGCCCCACACCCCCAGGTGTTTTGTCTGTAGGCTGCCAAGTATGATGGCTCAGTAGTGAGGGATGGGTGGGGCAGGGGCATTAGGGAGAAGCTGGCCATCTCTGAGCAGTTGATCTGGTGGTGAGGTGTTGTGTGTTGAGGGGAGGGAAGATGGCTCTGATTGGCAGGTAGGTGAGGTGGACCTTATGAAACTCCCTGCCACACCCGCTGACATCACACTTGTTGGCAACCATCACCCAGGTGTTCTTCGTGGGTAATTTCATTTTCCTTTCCCAAAGACATCTGCCATATTTTGGAATTTTATAGAATCATAGTAGCTGAGAGATAAGAGGAAACTGAAAAGTTACTGTACATGTACAACCACAAATCTAAGTTCTGGATGTCACCTTCTTCATCCTTCTTTCCCCAAGCAGTTCTTCACAGGTCCTGTCAGGTGTCCTCCAAAACTTATCTCTTTGTTCTTGCTGTTGTCATCTCAGCTACATTGCTACAATATAGCCTTGGGAGACCTGCATCTTTGAAACTTGTTGGTTCTTGTTCCATGTTTTGCAGCTGCACAAGACTTGTATTCTCTCTTTCATTTGAAAATCAATGGTAAATAGGAAGTCAGTGGAGTTACTTCCTGCTTTCACTACTTTCTTTAGATTCTCCTTGTAGATAAGATTTTCAGTTCTTCCTTGTCTTGGGAACCTCTTCAATTTTGGGTTCTCAATGTGGTCCTTCAGGCTAACCACAGTCATTCAGTCAGTGCTGTGCAGAAAGAACCATGACTTCTGGTGATCAGGCCACTCATCCAAAACCGTTTCTGCCACCTCCCTTCGTTGTTGCTCCTTTTCTTCCCTCCTTTCCCTCCCACTTCCGAATGAAAGCTGGGAAACATTGGGAAGGGCCTGCGGTGGGACACAGGCTGGTAATCCATGAGGCAGAGAATTGACAAAGCTACACTTTAATAAAAAAAAAAAAAAAAAAGGAAAGTTGGAAAGACAGCCTGGGGATGGCTCACTCAGAGACCTAGGTGTGTGTGCCCAT